GATTTTTAGACTTTTGGAACTTGGTGTTCACGTGCAGGATGGTTACCTAGTTTGACATATAGCAAAAGGAGCCCAATTTGGCCACTCTTGGTCAAAATCTAGCATGGGCAGCCATGGCCGTCCTAAAATTGCCAATGTGCCTTGTAGAATCATCGTGTCTAATGGCCAATCCTCGGGATAGCAAACCATATGTGAGCATTCAGGTCGAAACCGGACGGAGTGCCACGCGTTCAAGAACGTCACCAAATCGCACATATTCGGCCGCTCACAATCTTGTTGTGAAAGCCGAGATTGGCCGCGTCCAGCTTTGGATGCTCACCCACATGTACAGCAGACGCTACAGGCCTTATTGTCACGGTGGCAATCAGGAGTGGTTTCATCTAACAGCCGAAACTGGACCAAAGCCAAAGGCCGCCGCGGCCAATTTGGCACGGTATGAGCCTGCTTATGACCAAATTTGTCCGTCACAGCCGAAGCAAGCATATCACTATGGGTTTCAACGACGCGAAGCGATCAAGTCTACACGGGGCGCCTACTAGTCCATCTACAATCGACTTACGGCACGGCCTGGATTAATTTACGGAGGATACATCTTATATCTACGAAACAGGAGACAAAAAAAAAAAGGAGAGAAAAAAAAAGACAAAACCAAGACATACATACAAAAAAGAAAAACAAAAACAAAAGACAAAAAACAGAAGACTAAAAAGAAAAGAAAAAAAAGAAAAAGAAAAAACTCTTTAAGAGAGAAAAAAAAAGGGAAATTTTGAATATGCTGCCAGTTTTGTGCATCTGGCCGACTTAGGGAGTGGGAGATTTGCTCTACCGAACCTCATTCATTTTGGAGTGGGAGATATGCTCTACCGATCCTCTGAGTGGGAGATTTGCTCTACCGAACCTCATTCATTTTGGAGTGGGAGATTGACTCTACCGAACCTCTAAGTGGGAGATTTCTCTACCGAACCTCATTCATTTTGGAGTGGGAGAACTGCTCTACCGAACCTCTGACTGGGAGATTGACTCTACCGATCCTCTGAGTGGGAGATTGACTCTACCGAACCTCTGAGTGGGAGATCTACTCTACCGATCCTCTAAGTGGGAGATTTCTCTACCGATCCTCTGAGTGGGAGATCTACTCTACCGAACCTCATTCATTTTGGAGTGGGAGATTGACTCTACCGAACCTCTAAGTGGGAGATATGCTCTACCGATCCTCTGAGTGGGAGATTTGCTCTACCGAACCTCATTCATTTTGGAGTGGGAGAACTGCTCTACCGAACCTCTGAGTGGGAGATTGACTCTACCGAACCTCTGAGTGGGAGAACTGCTCTACCGAACCTCATTCATCTGGGAGTGGGAGATTTGCTCTACCGATCCTCACCTGCGATGAGCTGAAAAAACAGAAACAAAATAAGATTGCGGGTAAGAAAGTGATTTAAATAAGCAGAAAGAACTGACGGCGCTAAATCGAATCTAGTTAAGACGATTACGGAATCAGCACAAAAGCCGTCAAGAATTGGCCGCTTCTACTCGTCTAGCCACTTTAATCATATTGCCCTTTTTTGGACTTTTGACACATGATGTCATTCAGTACGATGCCACCAATCAAACACAACAGCCAGGAACCGGGCACTATCTGGCTTGTCGTCCCATCTTGTCCAGGTCAATCAAAAAGGCCGATTTTGGAGTCGATGGCATGCGGGCGACAGCTCGTCGTTCCCAATTCTCTTGTTTCGTCAGGCTGTGAAGGTCAGGCCTGGCGACAACATGTAACGTAACTTGAAGAACTATTCCACAAAGTCGCACTGCGACTATGAATGCTGCAAGCTTATCCGGAAAGGCCATTTTCATGTTATGAATCTGATTATGAACGGGGTATCCACCGCAAGTCATGGGATCGAATAGACTCGACATGATCGTAAATCACTTGCTCCTACCCATACTCCACGATAGATCATAACTTAGAAGAGTGCAAGGAGATGTCGCAGCCCTGCGTAACAGTGCGATTGGCCATGGCTGTCTCGTTGCTAAAGCAAAAGTGTTATGCAAGATACCGTGTTTTCCATTTACTGACTGTACCAGGAGAATAGGGTATGCCACTCAAAACAATCCGATACCTTCCCATCCATAACTAACTTTGCGAATCCATTTTCCATACCTTTTCGATGATGCGCGTGGTAAAAACCCGCCTGGTTCGGGGATAGGAAGCTTTCTATTTCAAATTTCGCCCTGTATCGTCCATTACAAAGATTTTGCTCATGATGCTGTGGTTATGGGTTCGATTTTACGATACCGCTGTCGATTTTGTTCTTCAACTTCCTATTTCGGCCTTCCGTGGTTCCGTATTTAGCTTGCCCCCACCTGCTGCAGTCCGCTCAGCGCTGAGGTTACATCGGTAGTTGCGATCGACAAAGTCTGCTCTGCATTGAACCCACATCACGTGGCGCAACAACTGCCAAAACGGACTTTTAATCGCCGATCTAGTGGCCGGGCCCTTGAGCTCCTGGCGGCGGCACATTTCTGCCGCTGTTGGATACTAGCTAGTGTAGGGTAGCCTGTTGTTTCGTTGCAGTTAAATGGCCAAGTCGGATGCGCCACTGAACTTTCTACAGTTCAACGTAGTTGCCAGCAGCAATGACTGTCATGACAACCATTTTGTGGAGTAGAGATTCCATTTTGCCTCGTTCTATTTCGACTTTCCCGTCTTTCTTGTTGGATCACTGTTTTAGGATGTCGCTTGGCTGCGCCGCGATGCAGGTAAAAGTCCCGACCTGAGTAGGGAAAACGGCTTCTTGATCCACTTTCTTTTTGAGCTGTCATTGATCAGAGAAGCGGAAAACAGCCGCAGCGGAAGCGGATTTTGTCGCTCGGAGATTAAGCACCGTTGCGCTGATGATCTAGTGCATTTATGGCACACCGTAGCTCCCTATAACGTACTCGCAGAGCAGAAGAAAAACCTTTGACGTGGATATCTCGTTTCATAGTGTCGCGTAAAATAACTTGAGAAATGACTCCACATGCTAAATTTTATTCTGGTTTCCAGCCTCCGCATTTTTCCCTCCGCATTTTTATATTTTCATTATTACTCTTTTTCTCGCTCTTCGTCTCTGCGTCTGTGCTTTCTGCTTTATTTATCCAGTTTCATGCTTTGATGGACCCATGATTTGCTTCAGTTGAATGAATTGCATGCATGCAGTCCGGGATGTCCTGTGAACTACGCGAAAGCTAAGATGGGCACTGACTAGCGACCAAGATCGAAGCAAGGTGCTGAAGAAGCGATACTCGGACCGCGCAGATCGTCCAAATCAGACTGAAGCTAGGTAAGTTACCCGGAGTGACAGCACGCGCACTAGTACAGGGGCTCGAGGAGATGAGGACGATAAAGTAGGCAACGTATGTAAGCATGCATTAGTGACTAGTGCCCTTTCGGCCAAACCAAGCCGCCAGCGTAATGGCATGGTGTCATGGCACTCACAGTTGTGCGTAGATCTGAAGACAAAGTCGACTCGAGCGCAAGTGCAATTGGATTGTACGGTTTTGAATGGAAGGCTCTAACTGCCTCTAGGACATGCTCCGTCGATGGCGATTTTTGAACTTTTCAAACTTGGGGTTCATGCGTAGTAGATTGATGCATGGGTAAAGGCGAGCCCAATTTGGCCCGTTCCTTTGTCAGAATTTTACGTGGGGGCCCACCGTCCCAAAATCGCCTATGCCGAAACCGGACGGAGTGTCACCCATTCAGGAACCAGGCCCATTTGTCCATACCTACAGTCCTATGAAAGCCGAGATTGGCCGCTTTTTCGTTTTGGATGTTTGCCCACCTATACTACAGACGATATGGGCCTCATCATCACTATGGCAATCAAGAGTTTATCTAACGGCAGAGGCTTGGCCAGGAACTAAAGCTGCCGCCGCCGCCAATCTAGGACGGTATGAGCCAACTCACTGTCAAATTTGTCCGCCATAGCTAGCACGGTGCCGGTAGTTTCTACGACACGGACTGATCGAGCTTACACAGAATGCTTACTTGTCCAAAGAGTCCTATAACGGACAAACGACATGACCTACTGGTATAAAAAAATAAAAATAAAATAAAAGAAAAAGACAAACAAGAAAGAAGACTAAAACATAAAAATAAAATAAAAAGTATCTCTGACTGTCCTACAACCGCAGGAGCTTGTAGAGAAGAAAGAAACAGAGACTGCGGGCGAGAGAAAAGGAGAATTTAAATGAGTGGAAGCAAGCGACCACGCTAGATCGAATTTGGTTAAGACCCATTACGTGGTGGGCTCGAGAACTGTCAAAATTTGACCCTTCAATTCGCCCAGCCACTTCGGGCTGTTCGGGTCACCCAACCCATTGGCTTGCGTTCTTTTTTAGACGCTGAGTATGATGTCACCACGTACTTGATGTTACCATCCCGAAAAGCAATCTCAACACCCAGACGCCGGTGACAGGTTCACGTTCGAAGGGGTAATCTTGCATGTCGTCCCACAATTTGCCATCATGAAGCCGACTATCAAGTCGAGGTCACTCAGCTGACCTCGTCTGTTCATTTCTGTATCATGTAGGCATCAGGACGCGGCACGATGTCAACAAGGCTTAATTATCATGAGCTCGGCTCTAGGGTAGTTTACAACCCCAAGGAAACGCCCTGTCTAACAGGCATATATAAAGCTGTTTCACGAGGATGCACTGCTATGGCAGTTGCCTCCTTCCTGAACAAAGCGTGTTCAGATACTGTATAATCTGTTCAGGCATTAGATGGATAGAGTATGCCACAGGCATCACGAGAGCTGCACCTTCCAAAACTGGCGTCTTGGATCATTTTTCTACATAAAACATTTTCGGTTGATGCCCACGGCGAAAATACGCCGGGTGCTGGGAGAGTCAGTCTTCCACTCAACTTTCCCTCTGCTTGGTCCTCAATAAAGACTTTGGTAATCGTGCTGTGTTTGTTACTGCAGATCTGCAAATTTGCGTCGCAAGCTTGAGCTGACCATGCTGTCTGGACTGCTCATCTCGGCTCATGACGAAGATGACGGTCGCGGACCACAGTCTCTGTATGTAATGCTGCTCCGACAGAAGACACTGTTGATCATTTCTTTTTAACCTCTTTTCTGATAGCATAGACATTGCCGATATATCTACGATGGCGTTATTCCATGCCATGGTCCAAGCTTCGCGGACTAGCCCGACCCCACTGGTGATCGGCGATGACCAACTTTGTAGAATGAAAGGCATGTCGCAAAGCCCCGACTATAACTGCAACGGAATTCCGAAAGCAAGGTTCCTCATCGACTCAGGGCGATACGACGAAGATCATGGAGAAGGCGCGATGCAGGAGATGGTCAACAAGATTCGCGAAGAGAGACGGCGGGCGGCCCAGGACCGTGGCGCGTCATAGTGTCTTTGGTGCTGAACAGAGCGCAGACCTAGTAACTGCGGATAAATCTATATTCCTACCCAGCTCGCATTTAGTTCTCAGGTGATAGTAGATGGACTGGGTCGTAAAACGCTTTTCAATATTACTCCTCGTTTGAGCTTACAGACGCTATATCGTTTCCACGGCACACCGAAGCTATTGCCCTCCCGTATTTTCAAATGCTCCTTCTCCATCTCTCCTTCTCCCTCTCCAGTATTGTTAAGGCTACTGCGAGTATTCACAGGTAGCTGCGCATTTTCCAGAGCTGCTTGCCCCCCCGGATATTTCCGTTCGTCGGCGATTGGCGAGCTGGACGAATGCAGGCATGATGAATCGGTTGACCATAGTATCAAAACTCATATCCGCCTGGACTTGCGGAACGAATATCAAGCAAGTCCACAGGCCGCGTCGAGAGGGATGTCTCCGGAGCATTACACGAGCAGAGGGGCGGCTGACATCAAGTCTGATGTTCTTGTACTGTGACTCTATCGCCTTCCTGCTGGAGATGACATCTTCCTCATTGCTATGCTGAAGTAAATTACCCGATCTAGTACAAGGCGCCGGCAATGATCTTACGCTGTCAAAGGTGGCTTTTCCAGGAGAAGACGGGGTTTGTCTTGCTGAGACCCGGGGTGTCTTCTTTTCCTGCTTTATATTCCGCTCGCCATCTTTATCTGGCTGGCGCTTTCTCTTGAGCTAAGTCACTGTCAGTGGGATAGGTCTCTAGTTATCGTGATGAGAAGGAAAGAAAAAAAAATGGTAAGTTAACCCAGCACAGGAGGTTTCGGAAGAGCTTGGAACAAAGAACGAAAAGGGGAAGAAAAACGAAAAAGAAAAAAAAAGGGAAAAAGAGTAAAGCAAAGACACGAGTGTGAAGCATCGGTATGGAACAACAAGATGAGAACCCTGAGCAGTAAGGAAGAAAAGACAGACAATACATAACTAGGTTAATGACAACCTTGACTGTTTGATGACTTACCGAGTTATCACCCTCGCTTACGGATGGGCCTATCGATGGCGCCACCTTCTGACGGGCTCCGCCATTCTTCCGTTGTTGTAGCTTCGGGTTCGCGTGGTAAGCCCCATTGTAGCTGCTGGTGCGTCCGAATCATCGGGAACTGGCAGGCTCGCGCTGTCGACGTGGTCTTTGGTGGTCGATGTAGCCTCTTCTGGTGGGGGAGGTACTGCAGGCATCAGATGCTGCTCTGCAGAGAGGCCTAGGATGTCGATTACATCTGCGACAATCCTTCTCCCTACACTCTTAGCTACTTCATCTTGTAGCTCTTGCTTCTTGGTTCGGGTGACTTCGTGCTCCATCTCAAGCTCCTTCATCTGCTGACCATCAGAGAGGAGCGTTCGCAAAAGAAGGGCAACATTATCGTTATTGTTGTTGTTGTCATTGTCCCGCAGGGTATTGAGATAAAACTCTTCGATTCGTTTCTTCGACGTGTCGCTTATACGGGCTCGCTCCTGGCGAAAGACATCGTCCGGATCTTTGATACCTTGGAGATGCGTATTCCAATTGGCGATGGCTTCGCGTAGTCGGGTGGTTATATTTGCGTGGGGCAAGCCATGCCTACAGGAGGTAGAAAGCTTAGGATAATGGAGCAGTGTGATTCCAAATTGCCGTATTGCCGTGGGCTTGAATATGAGATTGAGTTTGATGTTTTTACCCTGAGAGATGAATTTTCACATTTTATGAATAGCAAACTGCGCTCTCCATGATTAATAGATATGTTTGCGTTTGACGTCATCTTGGTTCGAATGCACCTATCTCGATCACACACGGGAAGTAGTCCATATTCTTCCTCGACTCAACGTCTGGAGGAGGACGTAAGCTACCGAAATACTAACCCCCTAGGCGGGACAATGTTAGCGTGTATGTGAAAGCCAGTTCAGACGGCCAAAAATGATTCTTTCACTAATTGGACATAGCCTATGTGTAAGGTTGCGATTGTAGATGAATCTGCGTCTCGAAATAGGTCGCAAAGGACAATTGGCGTACGTACAGTATGGAACGGGAAGGTCTCCATTATCAGGTACTGCGCAAATGTCAACGGAAAGATGAGCTGCTGTACTCATCTATCACGTTCTAAGACGCGGGTCGATAAGACTGGGGATCTGACAACATAGGAACATGAGAGATTGATCATGGTGTACTGTAGTAGGTGAGATGTCATACAGGACATCCCGTGATATGCCTTATCAATAATCAATAATCAATAAGCAATGTCAAGCTCCGAGTTCCGGGTTCCGAGTTTTAACCTTCGCATGTAAAAACTTTGAAATAGCTTTAAGCAGTGCAACAACACCACAACATTGGTTCACAAACTAAAATATAGACCAAGGGACATTTACATGTAGCACTTGGAACTGTCGTGGGACAAAGCTCGTTGAACTTGGCGATGATGATACAATATAGTTGGCCAAGACGTCTCTGTTTGTCGAGGACCAGTGAGCAGAGCGGAAATGACTGAATTAAAATTGCAATAGATTGCCTACAAGGTTGTACTAGGTATCATCCTTCAAGATGGTGACGTGTAGAAATATGGAATTTCAATCATTTTCAATCAATTGTGGGCCGCTCGCCCATCCTCCAGGTGAGCATGATCCATCCATCATTACTTTGCACAACCTATGCCCTCGTGTACAATCATGTTCATGTAATCCCGTTCTCTTCCCATTGCGGTGTTTGGGCTACTGTTCTCAACTTTGATGGAGGGCGAGTCTGTTCCGGCCTCTTGACGACGTCCCATATGCTCGGCTACCTGTTTCTACTGTAAGTCAAAGACAGGAAGAGCGTGGCTACGGCAATACTTACTATAGCGTCAAGGCTTGGGATCGTTTGACCTTCCGGTATGTGTCCCGCAGACACCCACTCGTCGTGAACTGGATTCTTGAAGACCAGTATGCAGGTGGTGTGTCCATCAACTCCCATGTTCATAGCCTTGTTGCATAAGGTGTTACCTCTCTTACGGATCAGGGCCTTTTCAGAATCGTCGTGTTGATGCAGCACTTGAACTTCGGTAGCAAGTGGCGATGGCGAATTTTCACGGTGGTGCCTCGCTCTTCTCTGTTTGAGGGATGCTCGTCTCGTCATCGCGCGATAAATCCGCTCCCGACCGCTATTGCCGTGGGGATCAGCTTGATCTCTCCTGCGCTACAATGGCATTAGTACATGGGATATTGCACCCTGCGGAGCCGTATCTTGGTCGCCTTACCAAAGTACACCACGTCACGGATGTGTTTGCCGTTGGCCGGACCGTCTGACTGGACTCGTCGTCCCATCTTGTTTCATGATCGGGAGCCTGCACATGTGCATCTCCCGCCGCTACATTGTTCGGCTGGCACTCAGAGGCCGACGGTTGCTCATCATCGGGACAAGGAAGGATAGAGTCGTCTTCATCCTGGTTTAGGGATACAGATAACCCTGGTACCAACTTCTGTATCATCGCTAGGCCCAAGATATCGAACTGTTCCCTTAGCATCCTTCCGGTTAGTTCTTCCATTGCTTCGTCATATAACTCAAGCCTCTGGGCCCTGGAAGCCACGTGCGCGAGCTCGAGGTCTCTCATATGCCGACCATCTGCAAGTAGCTCTTCTTGGAGGCTAGGTACGCCGTCAAACGTTGGATGCAGTGCGAAATTTTCGAGCCTCCTCCTCGAACGATCTTCAACTACAGCCAGCTCTTCTCTGAGCACCGCATCTGGCTCTTTTATATGTTGGAGCTCTTGACAGAAGGCGATGATAGAAGACCTCAGCAAAGCGGTCCAGCTCATGCTCGTCATATCGATATGGAGGTCCTGAAGTTTCAAAGAATCAGATGAGAATAATGATGCTGATGCGGTAAGGTTTCAGCTTGTATGGTAGATCTAGGATCATCTGCTTGAGTGTTGATGTACACGGTTCTGCAGGCCGAGTAGGCGATGGCAGGTTAATTATCCTATGAATATTACTTGTTTGCATCATCGGTTTGTCCAGGCTGAAATAGGACTTTTTCTTCTTCTTTTTTTTTTCGGTCTGCTTTTGGCCGCCAACATGCATGCCTCTGAAGAAAATGATTCTTTGCTATAATCCATTGTTGGCGGTCTAGAAAAAATGGAGTTGCAATATCTTTCTCCCAATTTTGGACGTATCACTAACTCCAGAGCGTTTTCAGGAAAAGCACCGAAATCGAACCTTTGAGTTGAGCTTCTTGTACGCCGAGTGCATCGGTCCGGCTACGGGTCATCAAAACAGCCCCCATGAATGAGCGGAGGAAAATACAAGTTACAGTACTGCACATTATTCTTTTCTCCTAATATCATCTCCTGTATCGGTTGAATGTAAAAACACCGTTGATGAATCGTCTCTGTCCTATGCTCTCTCTCCCCGCCCTCTTTCTTATCTCTCTCTCGCGCGCGTAAATACTCATCATTCACATTTGAGCATATCAGAAGAGAAGAGACGGCTTGGGTCTGCTGTACATTTCCGCTGTTATAGCTCAAGGCACGTTCACGACCGCTTACACTGCTGACAGAGCCTTGCCTCCTTGACCTGCTTCATCACACCAATAGAGACGGCACCTGGTTCACTTCTCTACTGTTCTGAGCGTTGAGCCAACTCCAGTAGTGCTGTTGTAATATCTAAATTCGAACTCAACTAGTACGTGTAAGGCCGCTGCTCATTACCAGAGCTATCCAGGTGTGTGTAAGATGGTGGAAATAATATTCCATCTGGATTTGCGCGTCTGTCCAAAGCCTCATCCGCATTGATCATTGTTTTCTGGTTGGGCGATAAGGATCTTTTATAAATCGATTTTCCGGGGGAAAACCTGGCACTTGTTGTCGCAAGCTACCAAAAGTGATAAAGCGCCACAGACTACCGATAGTGAGGGTAGACTAAAAACCAGCGGATGTTTATAATTTCGAACAAGGGATCGCGACATCGTGCGGGTGCTTGAATGCATGTAAACTGTTCGTGAAAGACCCCCACGATTCTTCAGACATGATAGGTGCCGTCACATAATCATCCAAGTCAGACCGAGAAGCAGATTCCGATCTGATCTGGGCCAAGACATTATTGTACTGCTCAGAGATTGAGACTGGGCATCTGCTCGACATTGTGGCCCCATCACCGGCAAATGGTTTAGATCCTCGCACATGCAGATGCCCTCATACAATGTGAGCACATCTGGTGAGAGCCCCGAGGTTTCGGCGGCCTCATAAGCCATGCGATTTCCAATCGCTTCAGCCAGTAATCGACATCGAGGGAGAATGTGACGATCGAAGGCGGGACCGCGATGTTCCTTATACCCCCCGATCATTTCGAGTCGTGATTTCATATCTAGCATTAACTTGTCCTCGCGTTGCGCCAAGCGTGACAATCTGTTGCGCGCTTGTGGGAGCCCCAGTTTCTCTCCCAGGAGCTCTGACATGAAATCTAGGAAATAAATCGTCAGTGTCACGATAATGTCAGCAGGTAAAAATCAGCTGAGCACATACGAATACACAACAGTAGTGTGTCTCCTTCGGCAATCGAGATTCCCTGGAATGTTAAATCTAGCTCGCTTATTTGATTATATGCACAGAGGCCCTGCCACCCGCACCTTTCGGTGAGGGGTCTCAAGATTTGGGAGGCTTTCATTACTGTCGCCTTGAAAATTGTGGCAAGCGCGTGCTGCGTCGCATCGCTAAGATTAGGGCACATCCCTATGGTCCAACGAGCGAATGCATGCAAGACCTTGCCTTGCACCCATCCTTCGACAATTGGACGCTGCTGGGTGCTGAAGCTCATGATCTCTTCGGGTACAGGTCCATCGGGTGCCGTGATCGTCCTTCGCTCGATGTAGACAGCAGCTACACGCGTTCCAACCTTGATGGCGGAGATGCCCATTATAGAGAGGGACAACGTTCCAGCTGACACCCGCCAAATCTGGCGTAGAAAATCAAGACGATCGTTTTCCGGTTCTGAGGATGAGCCGAGCAGAGCACTGAAGGGCAAATCGACATGGTTAAATGCCGTCAGAGAGTGATCCAACGGTTTCGTACCCGGCCGTGTGGGCAGAATACGTGATGTAACCCCGGGCCGCATTCCGCAAGCGTCGCTGAGACAAACGAGGAAGGGCTTCACGCCATGGCTTTTCCCGTCAACTAAGAGGCGAGCAAATACTATAGCTATGCGAGGCATGCCACAGTAGGGCGTTGTCAGAGGCATTGCCTTTGAAGCTCCTACGTGGGGGGTATGTAGATCGTAGGAGCCATCAGGCAGTAGTGTGGCCGTCGTTTCCAAGTTACGAGCGTCCAAACCATGATCGGCTTCGGTCAGCATAAATCCACCGCAGATATCAAAGTTCAGGAGCTTATCAACCAAGTCTTGTAGGTCGGGTCGCCCTTTGACGAAGGAACAAAGTGTCCTATACATAGGTTTACCTGTATCGCTACGATGATGAAGGCCGTCATGTCGCGAGCAGCAATCACTCCATTGCCTTGATCAGTATGGTACAGGTATGCGCTCAGATCTGCCAGACTTACAATCGAATGGAAATCCCAGAATTTCGGAGTTAGATTCTCGATATCCTGTTGTGACAGACCTGCCAAACTGTTTAGTGACGCTCTCCAATAAAGGCTTTGGACGTACCACTATGACGGAATATCGACCTTGCCCGCTCGTAATGCAGGGCTACATCTCGTCTGGAAGTAGACGCCACAATGTCACGGTCGCTGCGCCAGATGTCCTGGCTAAGGATCGGCTTGGATTGGAACATGCTGATATGATGATCTTCTCGATGGCTTTGCGGTGATTCCTCTTAACGTTCTGTAAGTAGGGGAGTGATATACAATCAATATTGCAAGACATTGGAGGAGCTTCTAAGCTGTCTAGTTGCCTTTAAAGAAAATGACAGAGCCATTGTTGGATTGTCTACGGGATCATTTGGAAAGCAGAGAAACAGCCCTCGAATTTGAACGCTGTTGAAATGGACATCTTCCAGAACGGGGAGTATTTCAAATCGGCCTACTGTGCTGGCAAGTAGGGAGGGAGCACAGTATACGGTGTATGGCACTCTGCCTGTAAGAAGCAAGCGTCGTGGACGCTTCCAGGATACAATGGCGAAACTATACACGGTTTTGGCCAAGAGAATGCCCGATATTTGTGCTACACAATGTTTCTCCTGAGTTGACTTATGGATCTTAGTTCCAAGGGATATCTATTCGGGTATATCTTTACCTCGGTCTATGGAAACTGTCCAGTCGTAAGTTCTGCTCCTCGAAACTGAAAAGCATCACTGATGGCAAGCAGGACTCACAGTGACCCATGAAACCTATGCTTGTTACCATAGGACTACGCCCAGCTTGCATCCATTTGCGCCCGACCCTCGGTATACACGGATGTAATAGCGAACGACGCCACTCTGTGCAGAGACAAGGTATCTATATCATGTACAGTCAAGCAGAGAGTAACCAATCGACCGTTTGGCAGGTTTCCGGTCGTGTTGACAGTCTTTGCTGCACCGTGACATAACAAGTTCTACGGAAGGAGCATCAACGCCGGTATAGAACGATTCGAATTTGGGATCGGGAGAACTGCCTTCTAGATAAAGGTCGACTGGTTCAGTCGCGATACAACCTGTGGTCGGAGGTGACTCAGTCGTCAGATTGGCCAAAAACTGCGCCGTTGACTGGATCCTGTGGCGATCTACAGATGGCATATCTTCGACAGGGCATTCTGGTACAATTATGAAGATAGTCTCTATACAAGTGAGATTGGTGAGGATCGTCAGGACTTCCATCAGCTTGATTCCCGATTCTGCAAAGAAAGCAACATGCTGGATACGCGAAATCATGCCTGTGAATAGAAGCGTCTCGCTCATTGCGTTAGACTTCAGCTGCGCTAGGTCAAGCAGCAAGAAGATGGTTCGAGATACGCAGAACCTGACAGAGGCCCACTCCGAGAAGAGACTTGTATTTCTTTCCCATTCAGCTAAGGCCTCTTTGCATGATAGCGCAATACGATGTGACCCAGCTTGCCGAACTGTCTCAGAAGGACAGGATAATCCGCTTTTCGAGGAGCACATGGTGTCCAAGCTAAGGGAGACAACTGACATGGCCGCACTCCGCAGAGCGATCCCCCATATCTGCACTCGCAAATCGAGCGGTAGAAGGGGAAAGAGATGGAACGACATGGCGTTTGATGCTCAGGTGTTTTGTGGTTGTTACTATACAATCTTCTACTCTATACCGCCATCGGTCTTCCTTAGGTGTGAGAAGAGTGTCATGTCGTTTGGGGTTCAAGCAGAAAAGGGAAAATGCCCCTTGATTAAGTAGTATTCGAATGCTGCAGGCGTCCGCTTTCGTCTCTGGAGTGATGTAAGGTATTAAACAGGACTATCAGTGCAAGGCGGTTTGTAAGGTGATGTGGTATTGTAGGGCATGTAACAAGGTGTAGCAAGATACTATTGCACTTCGCGTCGGAGTAAAGCTGAGTCTGAACCACGCGATGGTCTTATAGAAGTTAGGGTCGTTAGACAAAATATATAGCATCACCACCATTACGCGTGTCATTCACGAAGGCTAGGCTTAGTCGACACCAGTAAGAATAGCCATTTGAGAGAATGTGTTATATTGCTTTCCCTTCCTCATCTTTCTCTGTTATATATTTTGATATAGTTTCTTGAGACTATTTACGGTGAGAGTAACCCTTAAACGACAATATATAACTCATCATGCATGGATATTCCGGTTATCTCATCGGCTTGAGTTACGCGCATCTCAGATGTTCCAAGGTGGGCACGAAATATCAGGCATGAAGCTCGTACAACCCATACGTCATTTGAGTTGGCCCTGTGCTCGACATGTAGGATGGGGTGATGCTTGAAGAGTCCTAGTATGGCCGCTGCTCCGCTAAGATGAGACTTTGTAGACAGGCGGTGGCGCACCTGGTATTGGAAGCTGGAAAATTCTGTTCCTTGCGGCCTTTAGATACTCAGCAGGCGAGTCCATGGTGTTGTATACCACTTGGCTGTGCCGACAGTTGACTTGTTCTATTGCTGAGGTATCACTTCCTAGGTGAACGTGATCCCTATTGCTCATCCTCGTGTTGTCATACGGTTCCACTGTCTCGTGGCTGATGCTAAGCTGGACGGTCGACAAAGATCCCTGCTATGGTCCAGATTTGGGCCTCCATATCCTATGTTCTTGAAGGACTTCCCGCCTTGGAACCTTTATGTCCGCATAAGCGAGCAAAGTACCCATGTGTAGATTGAGACGAAGTTTTGTTATCCACTTCTTGGTTCTTTCTAGGTACACGGGATGATGAAGGCGCAAAGAGCGCTGCCAGGCGTAGTAGCAACAGTGCGACGAGCTAACAGAGTGCTAGAGAGAGACATGCCGCTCGTGCCATCTACAAAAGGTGCGCTTGAGGAGTATGCAGACTAGGAGAAATGCAGAGCGGCCCAAAAAAGAATGGCGACAACCGCGACAAGTATGATCTTGGTCTGTTCCATGACCTCTCGTCTTCAGTGCTGCGGAGATGAAGATGACGGTTGGGTAGAGGCAGATTGATCTCAGGGCCAGTAACTATTTACGAAAACATTTGGTGAATTGACGAGCAGATGAGGTATTGTAGTAAATGAGGTTCAAGAGAGCACACCCTCAGACGTCCGGATACATTTGGACCCTGATTTCAAACTGGGCCATGTGGGCCGTAATCTCGGACCAGTGGCTGAGGTCAACACCATCGCCAAGGCATATCACAAGCCAGATCTGAATCACAGCTGAGCCATCGAAAATGTGGAGGCCTGAATCAGAGGATCTGCACGATCTTTCACTATATATATGGCGTAAGAATGCTTTCCTCGGGCTCATGTACATAGCCTTCTTCACCTTCAACTAGATACCTATCCTGCCATCGCTTCGCCATTCCATTCTTCCTTCGCTCCTCACTCAAACGCCAAAATGACTGCCCAACAAGGAACCAAGAAGCTGGTGATAGTCCGCAATGACGCCCCGGATGCCGACAACATAGCAGCATTTATGCTTCTGTTACAATGGGCAAAAAACGCGCCTGACGTCGAATTGGTTATCATATTTGAGCCTCGGCCTGTTGACTTTAGCCTGGCAATTTTGAAACCTGATGACCAAAAACAATTGGACAGGTTACTCAAGCGTCACTTCCCTGAACTCGGAAATCCCCTCAAGATTCGCCTAAATGGCTTGTTGACAGAGCAGGCTATAAGCCAGGTTACAAACCTCAGCGAAGAAGACCGGGCTTTGGTAAGTTTCGAAGCTTTATTTTTCCGTCCTTTCGAGTTAGTTCTGTTGGCTAAAGCTGGAAACTACAACTAGTTGAGTATGGCAGTCAAGCCCTCCAAAAGCTCATTAGAGGACCAAAGCTAATGATTCACTCATGGCCAGGCGCCTGGACTCAGAGCTACATGCTTCACTCATGGCCAGGGACCTCGCAAGGTGCCTCAACGAACTGCCAGGAACATCTCGAAGCCAGGCCAAAGTAACCATCCTGGTGGATATGGATGCACTGTCTGATACGAGTCCTGTGAATCTCAAGTGTCACGCCCAAGAACAGCTGTTCAACCGCACTCCGGAAGAGATCAGTGAATTCTATGGTTTCATGAACCTACCTCGTCTTCAAAGGCAGGAAGAGATCAGGCAATGGTACAAAAACCGTATCAAAGAAGCCGATGAGAAGCTGCAGAACTCCAGCATCGATGTAGGCTGTCTTGATTTCCGTCATTTGGCGGAACGGATTATGGCCGCAGAAGGCGCCATTTACTGAAGGGGCATCCTTCAACCTTCTTCGTCGTCTTGTTGATGAGCCAGGCGTAGCAGCCAAGATCGACTGTGTTGTACAAGCAGTATGTCTCCGAATTACCTGATTCTAGGCGTACACATACTGACCTCTCCATCCATCTCCATAGGGAACTCTGGACCTTGCTAAGAATATCTTCACAAATCAATTCAACATCGCTCTCGACAGGAGTCCGCTGCATACGTGCTGGATAGTTCGCATCTCTTTCGCAATTTTGTTGCTGTTCCGACTCACACATCCCAATCAATCTCTTTCTCATTTGACAAACTGGAAGAGAATGGCTTTTTCAGTCTTGCAAGATGGATCTTATGTTTCAATCGTGGCGAAGACCCTCTCAAGGTAGCGGAAGGAAATGTCACTTTGGCGGGTCAGCACCGCGATGCAACGATCAAGCTGCCGGATCTTGCGATGATTCTGCTTACATTTGACTTCGAAGCTTATCCGAGAGAAACCTCAAAGGTCGAGGTACAAGTATGCAGGGAGAGTCTCTGCTTTTCGTACAGTCAGAAAGTGGAATCCTAGCATTCCTACCTAAGGATGGCCATATATACAAGACTGTGGATCTAGTGACCCTTCTGACTTTGTGCATTAGGGACATTCCAATCAATTGGGTTACTTGAGATTCTTCACTGCTGAAGAGGTTGGGCCGAGCGAGCCAATCTGCAAGTCGTTCATGCCCTGCCTATTATTAGAATAGTCTAGGGCTATTATTTTCCATTTTGTATTTATATTGACGCAGAAAATCATTATCGAACGATCCACCTCTCCTTCCTTCATCTACTGCTGTGTTCCACAACCTTGCCCACGTGCTGCAGAGAGCCTATCTCAACATGAGTCGATGCGTAGCCTCCTTTATAGCTCGCGAACTAGCTTCAGGTTGTGAGGTATGAAAGAGCCAATAGGTAAAATATAGAGAATGAAAGAAATTTTGCACCATGCACTGTTACCGACATAGAAGGAGAAGAAGGCAGTTAAGAAAGGAAAAGTCCAGTCCCAGCTGCCTATTTATCTGCTGCAAAGAACTACTTTCTCTAGTTACGTATACAATACATACGTGCACAACCTTCCAAGCACGGTATTCCGGACTGACCAAGGATATTGTCATCCTACTCTCAATATACGTAAGACAATAGCGAAATTCAATCACAAACGCGGTTGCAGGGTTTCTCCACGAGCAAGCCTCATATGACTGGCAGTAAAGGTGTCGTTCGCGACAGCTGAGCTTGTGCTGACGTCGAGTGCAAGGCTGAACGCTGCAATAAGCCCGGCCAGCCGTTCCTTCTGGTCTGGCCCGTCTCCGTCACATCGCAGCATCTTGAGAGCCTCTTTCTGCATCGGGTATCCTGTACCGCCTCCGACAGTGCCGACAGGCAGGGACGGGAAATAGAGGCTCATGCAAAGCGCACCAGACTTAGGGTCAAGTTCCGAGGTCAGATGGCTCCAGGATGCTTCGGCGGTGCTGGCAGTGTCCTGACCGGTCGCAATGAACATGGCTGCGATGATATTGACCGTGTTTATGTTGGAACCAAACTGACCGTTCCTGATCCCGCCTTCTTTGAGAGTCCTCTGGACCATGTAGAGGCGCTCGGTGGTGCAGCCGAGGATCTTCTGACAGGCTTCTCGTGAAATCGTTCCCCAGACTAAAGTCTCAACACCACGAGGCTGCTTCACGTTTCCCCAAGAGGGTTTTTTGTCGGAAGCTAGCTGACCTTCAATGAAGAATCCAAGATGTTGTATTGATCGGCGAATGACTCTCGCAGCTTGTCACAGGCGTACTGTGTGGCTTTCGTGACCATGTTCTGTCCCGCCGCGCTCCTACAGCTATAGGTGCACAAAAGATGAACCTGCGAACCGATGATGGAAGGCTCGATAGTCTTGAGCCTAACATGCTTGCTAGTCGCTTCTGCCCACCTAGCGAATGCGTTCTGCATACCCGGTAGCGCTTGGGCAAAGATGACTGCCCGCCTAGGGTTCTGGAAAACAAAGACAGGACCGCGAGACATGCCATTGCTCAGAGTTTCAATATGTATGCCGCCAGAGGCATTAAAGGCCTTGCATCCTCTAGAGCAGCTGGCGATAAGGGTAGCTTCGTATGTGGCTAAAGGGGCATAGATATCGTCGAGCACGGGTGTTCCGGCCAAGCGTAACGGGCCTGCAATGCCAAGTGGAACTTTGCAGAACCCTATGCAATTCTCGATACATACGTTTTCCAGGTTCTCCGGCTGTAAGTCTGCAGCATGGTTGAACTTGTCCGCTAAATCATGCAAAACCTGGGTCTTGGCGCGTGAATCAGGAGCCATAGCAGTGTTCTCGAGGCAAAAGCTTCTTTTAAAGTGGTGATTGGTATTCCCTGGAGAGATATCGAGTTATCCAGATCGAGGAGGGGGAGTCAAGTACAGTATATCTGTTCTTTTTGATAGAGAAGAACTCTGATATTGCCGTCACTTGCCTGTGTACCATGCCTGGCCTAACGCCTACATCGGCCAACTTTAGACCTTCTATCACGTATCCGTCTAGATTTGTATGAGGAGAGTAATATACAACCTATTATGGATTAAAGAAGAACTATATTAAATAAGGAAACGATAATTAAGCGTCAGATAGCACCTGGTTTCCTTAGCATATTTGGCCGTTAGGGATTGGTACATTGTGATCCTGTATGAGAAAGCGCAGCACGCGCTCTATCAAAGCATTCACACCTAGGCACCGCAATACCGTTCATGGCTTCTCAGTCTACAGTATGATAAACTAGATCGAGGATGTACGTCGGTTTTCGAGTCGAGTTGCAATTAGGAGCGTAGACCTATCAGTTTTGTTTCTTCTGCATCGGCATTGTGAAGCTGTGGATGGCTCGTATCCTGTCCAAGTTCAGCAACCCAGACGACGTCCTAAACAGGCCAACTGTAACGGCAACTATCATCGCGAGCCTGAAGTTGAGATGCTATAAGAGTCCAATGGCTGCCCTAGAGCATTGGTAGTTCAACTACGAAGCTTATACGGGTTTCATGTCTCTAATAGGAACAGATTCACGCCTAATTCCACGCTGGTCTGCGTACTGTCTGGAATGTGACATCGTAGCACGGTCGCAATGGAAGCTACACGGCTCTAACATACAACAAGGAACGCCATCAGAAGAGAACCATATTGTAAGGCCCAACGAGTCGCTACGTTGCGGCAAGTGCGCCTCATCCCCAAACCTTTGTCCTAATAGTCCAGCTCTATCGGACCATCATGGGCTCGTGCATGGTTCCGTCGTACATATCTTCTCAAGCAGCGATTCTGGAGCCCACAGGTTCTCCACGACTGACGACTCATATGGCTACACACTTGATGTTGAATCCGTGGTTCGGATGACCAGACAAAAGAATGACTATTCTATGATTGAACCTCATCGCCTAGTGGTGCCCGGAGATCAAGATCCCCAGGTCGAAGCGATAGGTCAGACAGATGGATACGCATGTCTCCCGACACAGTGGCGAGAAAGGTCCAGAAGTGTCTGAGTCATCAACAAACCCGAAGTCTCAGGGCCGATTTGGATGCTTCTTCATCTCCTTGTGCATAATCATAGCCTGCCGAATCACCTTCTTGTCTCGCTATACCCCTAGCTGCTAGCTTACCCTAGGTTGCTTTTGAGGGATATATGCCCTTGGAGATTGGGCGCAGTAAATTGTAACAACCGCGAGGTGACTAAAGCCAAGGTGGTGGCATGAAGTCGCGTTTGTGCCCTTAAGCAATATCAAATTGGAAGTGTGTACAGTAGCATGATTGAGCGGTAGAGTGATCCAGCGTGACACATAAGATTTTATCGTTTCCGAGTTTCTAACTTTTACATATTCTTATTACTCCATTATCTCGCTCTTGGCCACTTATTGTTGAAACAGATTGTAAAATGTGAAAAGCTGCGTGAGGCTAATGTTAATCATTTCTAACCCTTTTCAACCGATCAACGTCCCCTCTTCCCAAGCCTTTTATATTGCGAGACCATATTTTGAGCCTACGAACTTGCAAAAGAATTAGCAAGTTGATTACCCTAGAGCTGAGTGGGGTTCCTGTACGAAAGTGTCTGATTGGATAATGTCCTGCTTTGGCATGGCTAAATGGTTGTCTGACGGTTTCCGCGGAGGCTTTAGTCCGGCCAGCATGCATCCTCTAAGCTCGAAGCGGTAAGAAGCGGATGAGTTGCATACAATAAAATGCTGTAATTGGTCAGAGCAAAGAACAATGAGATAATCTAGGCTGGACAGCACAATTTATTCATGCATGGGGAGTCTCGCGATACAGTTTCAAGCCATCGATCCCGCTTCAGTCCATTGTGTTCTTATTAGAACTAACTACTAAATAAATTTCCAAGGCAATTGGCGACAGAAAATTGACTTCGCAAATCGACGTGGTGAACCTTCATCTTATCACTACGTCTTTTACTTTTGCTCCGTCTAAGAACAGGCTGTTCAGTCTTAGATCCACGCGATACATAGGCAAAATTTTCTATGTCTCAGATAACTTGCAAACCTCGACCGGAACAGGCCTGTCAAAACTATGGAGACCTAATGGCAGTTCCCGGTGACCAGGCTCTATCTTTCTGGCCTCAACTGGATCGATAAGCCTCAGGTCATAACTTTGCAACACCATGGCGACCGAGGCGAAGATGACCTGCTTAGCCAACGACTCGCCCGGACAGCGGAATGCTCCTCCTCCAAAAGGGAAGAAATGTCCCCGCAAGCCAGCAACGGAGGCTTTGGAGAGTGCATCTTCCGTCTCCATTTGCGTTGTTGGCCTTTGTGGAGATTTCCGTACGGGTTGAACGCGCTTCTTTTTCGATGGGCCGCTGATACTGGAGCTGCCTGGACAATCCAGAAACCTCTCAGCCCAGAAACCTTCCAGAGGATGCTGAGGCTTGCCACTGGGCAGATCCTGACCCGTGTTCCAGCACGACTCGTCCAGTCCCGCAAGCCAGCCGGTGAACATGACGGGTACACCCGCCCTGACCTTCCAGCCTCCAGCGAGACACAACTGATCGTCGAGGGACGTGCGACCAACAGTACTTGCAACACGTAGCCGAAGTGTTTCGTAGTAGATAGAGTTGAGGAGGGGATCCTTCATCAGTACTTTGATATCTGGTTGCTCTCCAACCTCTGTGGATTGAAAGGCAGGGCTGATCTGGTGGCGAACCCGACGGAGCAGACTTGCATCAAGTAGGATGTGCACGATCATCCACAAAGCTGCGGGAACTGTGTTTGCCATAGCACTGTATTGGGTAAGCAACGATCTCTCGGTCGCTTCTCGTTTCTGCATCCCTCGTGGCGGAAGAGTAGAGCAAAGGTTGAGCGAGGGAGGGAGTGGACATGGACGTACACGAAAAAATATCCCAGCATCACCACAGCTACTCCGTTGTTGCTGAGCCCGAGAGCCTCGTGGCGCTGAATCATCTTGCGGACGTATTGGGTCCCCAAATAGGCTCGTACTCGATATCGCGAAGCCCGTCATTATCCCAGTTGTAATTTTCGCTACACCAGGTGCGCCAACGATCGAAGTTTTGTGCATCTCGTCACGCGCCTGGTAGCTTGACGGTACCAACCATCGCGGCAGACCTTTGGAGATGTTCGGAATGCTTTGTAGAAGTTCCAAAAGTCCTGGCAGAAAGTTGGACAAATTCTGAGGAGATGCTCTCCATACAAGGCTTCTACATTAGCTCTGAGGATGAGATTTGATAGGAAGCTGAAGAGATCAGGAATACGGCCCCAATCGTGTCCGACCTCCGATGCTGCGGATAGCTCTGACGCCAAATTCTTTTGAATCTCTCCATCACAAACACTAGATTTCGCCCTTGAAGATAATGAGCAAAGTCTTGTCTCTGGTGCTCCATGATACGCCGGAGACATCCGGATGATCCGTGTAGAATCCTATACTGGCCTCGTAGGCCGAAATACGGTCATGGTTGAAGATGTGGATATCAGGGCCGGATAAGCCGAAGAAAAGGTCAGAGCATCGAATAAACTGGGCGTCGGCACCAGACTACTACTCCGTCTGAACAGTCCTTCGATCTGTTTTCCAGGCATCGCCAAGTATATCTCCCGACCGATGAGCGGAATATAAGCTGGAGCTCCCTGCAATTGGTGACTGAGGCGCAGTTCAGTTAGTGATGCGGTGATGCAACGAACGTCAAAGCCGGCAAGCAACGGTGGATCCAGTAATACAGAGTTGGATAAGACTGCAGAAGGGGGTCTTCAACATACGTGAGGCGTCTCAAGAAACTCTCTGGCTGCAGAGTGAGAGAGAGAAGATGGCCTAGCCCTTGAAGCCCCCACGAAGGCTGGGGAGGGGCTCTCGTCGAGTCATCGTTATGGGAATGTGATCTGGATTGAAGTCGAGTGTATATTTACCTAGTAAAAGAAGGAGAATAGGCAAAAGAAGAAAAGCCATATAGGTCACGGCGTGATCTAGGCTAGGAGGTACATGCTTCATCAGCGAACCAAGGTAGCTCTCCATAACCGTATTGCAATGGAAGTGGCGGCACCAAGGACAACCGCTCCGACACTTGACCGAGTCCCGCCTGGCACGTAAAGTTCCAGTGTCTGGATAGTGCCGAGAGTCGCAATGAAGAATATTGCAGGATTGCGACCGAACGCTTTTCAGTCCGAGGGTACCAGGTGCTCGGATATGATGTCGCAGAGAACTATTATCAATATCTCCGGGTCGATTGCGATTGAGTGAGAGGTTTGGGACCTTACAAAAGACTAGGAAACGCAGGCCTATTTAGCACGCGTTCCTATTATCACTAGTCGTTGGGTGCCAGGTCGAAAGAGGAAGAGGGTACTAGTCGAGAATCGAGATGAAAGTTGGGGAAAACAGCGGCCGTACCAGCAGTCACGAGCAGCCATTTCGGGGATATTCACTGGCCTAACAATTGCATTTTAGAATCCTTAATAGGCCATATTGCTGTGGATGCCGCTGCCGCTGCCGCTGCCCAGTGTTCTGAGTCTTGGCAGAACAGGGAGAAGCAAGGGGGACCCGGCCAATACTGGCTGGCAAGGCAGAGTTCACATGTTTTGGCTATGCGAACTATCAGATTATTCAGCTAGCTGTCACTGTAGCATACTATACTGCACAGTACAGTATGGCTCGCATATTGTTTTTAGTTTCCAGTAATCTACTTCACCTCACCTCTGCATCATCTGCTACAGCGAAAAACGAAGTCTCCTCGAAGGTAGCAGGACCATACCTAACGACAGCACAAGTTACCATCTCTGATATCCTCTTGGTCCTATACCTACTTGCCCACCTACTTGCCGCTTCAGGTCAGCCGCATCTGTTTCTGTCCGCTATGATCGAACTGTTGTTGGAGTCGCCTTTGCCTTGTTTCCTCGCTTCAAGCACAGCGTACGCGCTCATCACGTCCCATCAGTTACAGTGCCAATTATTACCCATCATCCTCGCCTCGTGGACCTTTGCATTATTCGTGCATCTCGTGGTCTGGCAGAGCTGGATCTTTCCACGCTACGTGTCAGAGCTTCGCCATATTCCTACAGTCCCTGGATTCCCTCTCTGGGGCCAGTTTTTCGACGTCATCACACAGGAATGCGGGGCTCCACTACAACTCTGGCACCATCAGTATGGCCCTGTCGTTCGCTACTTCTTCCCCTTTGGGTCGGAGAGGCTGTCGATTGCCGAGAGGGACGCGCTGCAGCGCATGGCTTTCGACTGCCCTAAAACTTCCGTCGATAACTGCGCTAAACCATCACAAGCGCACTCCTGGATAAGCAGAACCCTCTGGCGTGGCTTGTTGCCTGATCGAAGTAGCGAGCACGACTGCCGATCCAGCGCGTTAGCTTTGGCTTTTTCAGTACAATCCATCAAAGCTTTAGTCCCTATAATTTGGACAATATCATTATGTCTTGGTGAATGTAGGGAGGAAACGAATGCAAGTCGACCTAGCGCCACAACAGTCAGTCGTTTGATTGGTTGAGGCGAGTTACCCTGGAAGCCGGGCTTGGATTTGAGGACTATTGGATTAAAAACTCTACAATTAAAACCCGCGACGTTGACAATGGTCATGGGGTATAAGTAGCCGTCTACGGGAAGCTCTTGGAATGATAATATGCTGAATTAGAAATGACTCATGCTAAGATGAATAACAAGAGTTTGGAGGACCTAATGTACGCTTGTATTCCATGCTGAGGGATTCTACTGTAGACTTAGTGCTTAGCTTTGAGTCAGCTGACATGAAAGTTTCAGTATGCGATTTGAATTGATTGAATTGATTGATATATATCTGATCGTTGATCTGGTCTGGACAGCAGCGCTAAGATGATTCTGAGCTAAACACCATATTACTGCTAGCAGCATCTCATACTGATATAATTGGTTCGAAAAGGTGGAGTAGGCCGTAGCGAGTAAGCTCGGTTATCTTATCGGAAGAAACCAATAAGGGCCATAGCGGGAAAGATCCAGGAATACCTGGATAACTATAGCATCAACAGATTAAGTGCCAAGTACACGACTCAATCATCGAATTAGCGGGTGCGAGTGTTATTGGATCATACCGAATTCTAGAGCAGTTAATAGACTACCAGTTGATACAGTAATATTCGATCGGAGAGGTATGGCCGAAGCTTGGTCTAAAACTGCCCTGTCGGAACCATGCAAGTAGTACATATATATAGACCACATGCTTGTTCCATAGTATATCGGTCGTCATCGGCTTCCCACTTTAGCCATGGCAAGCCACCAAAAATTCGTGTCGCAATGAACGGGAGGACTGTAAGAAGCTGGCTATTCCCTAGACTGTTCACGCCAAAACTTTGTCCTGTAAAATCACCTTGTCATGAAAAGATACTCACCATATGGGGATTATTCTTCAAAAGCCACGCATGGCTGGAGAAAGTTTGCAAAGCCGGAAATCCACCTGTTCTGATCGGAAGTGTCTTGAACCATATTTCCCAAGACAGCGTCGATCCTAAGCAGAGAGGTCACTTAGCTCTTATTTGTGAGGGTAACACATACCCAGCGCTATTCGAAGAGTGCCTACAACCCCACCTTATGCATATTCACGGAAAGGTGCTTCAATTCGATTATTCTTTCACAGATCACAAAATCGCTTTGAACGCTCATTGTGTTATGACCGGTACAAGCGTAAACTCAATATATACTAGATGGCCGGAGCTGTTGAGTGAGGTCTCCGCCTTAGGGAGGCACTCGGCATATCTAGTATGGGGAGAAACGACCGTAAGGCAAACGCAAGCCGTATCTGGCTTGGGTAGAAATCTTAAGTCAGCCGAATCTGTCTCCAGGATCTGCAGCATCAAACTGCAGGACTATAGAGGCGACATAGGATTCCAAATCTGTAGAGAACACAGTTCCTTGTTTGTATATGACCACTCACAATCCTGCTACAAGTACGCAAAGGACTATGAGCCGATTTACGAAAAGTACAAGAACGATATCGAGAAACGAGAGGATGCAGTGTGTAAAGCATGCAGAATGAGGCAAGGGCAAATACGAGGGATGCGCTAAGGCAATCTATGTTTTGAGACCCACAATCCATAGACTAAATTCACATATCCTATGATTTAGATCCTTTTTACTATTGCGGGTTACAAAAGTCGAGGGTTATTCCTACGCCCTACTACCATTCGTCGCTTGAAGGGGTACCTCGCTCTCCTCACTATAAATGGCTCACTAAGTCGAAGATGACAGCTAGGGCATCGAGAAAACGTCTAAGTGCAGGCTTTAGTTCGATTAATCAAGTCTATGTAGAAGGATTCCAAATCCATATTTGTATAAACCTCTCTACGGAGACTCTGATCTCAGGTGAAAAAAATAAAAGATCCCTGCTATTCAAAGCTATGATTGGAGTAATGAGCAATGGATTTGAGTGTTTCATGACTTCCAGCATGCCGTGCTCGTCTGCGAACTCCAACCTAGATCTGCAGATCAAGGTCCTATTGAAGAGTTGCGCAAAACAATTGTTGCTCGATACGAGACACCACCACGAAGAAGTGACAAGGATAGATGGAGAAAGCTTGCGAGCGAGAATTAACAGTGTTGTGGAATTGAGTGGTCTCGCTAATTACAGAGCATGATTCCTTCAATGGGTAACTCTTAAACTCCGATATACTCTCAGACCTTTCGAAGATGCATCAGAGTCTCCGAAAGCAGCGAATGATTTAATAGCACAATTAGTCAAGGGATACAGTAATACATAATGAATTTAACTTTTGATATATTTCTTTTTTACCATGCATATTCATTGCCAAGTTAATGAGACGTGGATGACGGAAGGGACATCTTAATACCTCGTCCTAGGTAGGTGGCCATCAAATGGCAGTAGAAACAAGCGTTAAGAAGCATATACGTTGGGAGTAAGAGCCACCCTTGATGGGCCGTTGTTCTTTCGAAAAGGTTTGAACATGATGACGGCTTTGATCACATCCAAGAACCTAACTGAAGCGTTGTTCCAGGTCTGCTAGAAACCATGTGAGAAACCTCGTGGGGTACCTCAATTAGAACCCCCATCCTCTCAAATTTTATTCTTCGGCCCATTGGGTATATTGATAACTTGCCTTGAGGCTACCGGCCCGCGCCCCTTCGGTAATTGAGATATAGCATAGGCAGCATCTCCTTCTGAGCTGGGCATTGTTAGATCCGGGGACGACGTATCGGCTTTATCGTCGTGATCCTAGTTCTAATGGTTAGCTGCTTGATGCATTTGCGGAGCATAAGGCATCTCTCACCTTGACCGTTCTGTTCACGCGGTGTGGGGGAGGAGACGATTTGTCCACAATTGCGCCCTTTCTGCGGTTTTTCATATCCTCGCTTCGAAAAGTCTTTAAATAGGGAAGCTTGGAGTTGTCCAGCCCGAAATTCGGGTGGCTGAACTTGGCCTTTTTCGGAAGTCTGGTGTTTTGACATTCCATTTCCGACCCCCTCTTAGATCCATGGGGCGCGGCACTTGAAAACGAATCTTCGGAGTTAAGAGAGCTTTCTCCATGACTGTTGGGTCTGACGACTGGTACTCCGGAGACAGAAGTTGAGTCATTCGGGGCTACCGATTTGTCAGGTCTAAGGTTAGTCGGTCAGCATTCAACTTCATGAGGTTCTTGGCCGTGCCATTGTAGCTCATACCTATCGATTCTTGAACAACCGAAATCGGAGAAGATAGCCTCATCCGGATCAAATGAAGTAAAAGCAGATATTTCTGGAGAGCCTGGGTTGAGACTCAATATCTGCCCTTGATCGGTAGTAAAGAGTACGTGATAGCCAGCCGATCGATCCAACACTACTGTCTGAGAGAGATCATGAATCCAAGAAGGATCGATGCATGATGGCATAGTGAATTTGTTTGGATTATCTCCACAGAGAGGGCTAATCAATGAAGGATACTCAGCTTGCAGGTCGAGCTGTGGTTCCAAATATTCAAAGGGCGGTAGTAGAAAAGGATTTGATACATGATCGGCGCATAGTGATTCTGCACCACAATTATTTTGGATACAAGGCATTGTGAGATGTCGTTGACAGAAAAGAGAACAGATTGATCGAAATTTTGTAAATTCTGGGCAGTGATAGATATTTATCCCCTTCGCCAAGGTCTTCAGGGGTTCAGGAGACAAGGATACAGGTATGGGGGATAGCATGCACTAAACAGGTGGTAATTCCAGGTTTCTCTTAACCAGTGCTGGAGATGGCGAGGGAATGGGTTATGTGGGGCCCGAATGATGATCGAGCAGTGACCACCACCAATCCCGTTCAGGGACTGGAACAAGCCCAGGACTCACGACTGATGGTTTCTGCCGGCAAGTCCTTCTTACACAACATATCGTGCAGAACCACGCATGGAAGCGTAAGGAGAATTTAATTGATAATCACAAGGTGCCAGTGACATGGATTGTATCTTAATGGATGTCCAACTACACCAATCAAGGATGCGAGTGTGAGGCACTGTCCGGACTACTGTCAAGTTTGTATGATAGTAACCCAAGGCCGGCGGCTGATGAGGCTGTGTAGATGTGCGCCAGTAACCAGTAAAAAAAAACCTCTTTTGGCAAGGAATCCCGGTAAGAAGATTGTCAGGTCTTTAAAACTATTTTTTGGCGTATCACGGTGGGCGTCAAACTTTATGGTCAGCACAGCACTAGACCTGACTCCGCTGTCTCTTCTCATCCAACAAAGTCTATTGTGAAACCTCGGATGACTCATGGATGATGTGACGATGTTGAACTGAGACCTCGTATGCAATCAAGTCTCGCTCACCCATATCGTCGAAGTGCAGCCTCTTGCAGAGCCGAATCCTCACCATACGCCAAGTCAGTCTCGAGATCAGGGCCAGGCTCAAAGATTCCGAGTTTCAGTCGGGTTTGATTTCTGTGGGCCTCATAAGTTTCAGGGACGTGATGTCGTGCCGTCCTGAGTACATGTAAGTTTGAAGCAGTAAGTGGATATGGTGATTCAAAGTAGTTGCGTGAATTTCAATTGTAGGAGCGCACCACACAAGTCACATGCCGTACTTGAGCAGGGGACCAATGTGAGAAAAGAGGCAAGTAGATAGAGGACCTAGTGGCCGAAGTGTTGCCATGCACAATCAATACCGATAGTTCGAGTCAGGGGTATAATGAAGCTGCAGGGGGGGTAGCCGCTTTAAAAATGTAATGAATGGACGACCTTTTCTAAGAATGATAAGCTGCTTCTCATACATCTCACGGTTTTCTCTCTTCTATAGCTACTGTTACTACTGTATTCTTTTGAATTTCTCCGTAGTCAAACTTTCCAGCGGTCGCACAGCCATGAATTCCAGCCAACCATCCGACGTCTCGTGGACTTCACCTATGGAACATCCATGCCCTGGTGAAGTCAATATATCTTTTCGTGCCAACCCGACGGCAATGGATCCAGATGCCAGTTGTTGTCTTCAAAGTACTCAAAATGCTGGTCAAGATCTACGCTCAACCCAAGGTTGCAAGACCTCTCAAAACTCGATTGAGCTGCGCAATTGCTGCGGTTGGAAGCGAAGATGGAGAAGTTGAGCAGAGATATTCGCATACTCAAGCGCCTTGTTCGCCCGCGGAAGAAATCCAGATATCGCCACTTCAGACACAGCCAGGCCCCAGTATGCATTGGGAGGTTCTCACTCACCATAAACACCTCACCCAATACGCCAACCACACCAAAGGAATCCCATGGCCTACACTTATCATGCTCACAAGTCATCCCTTGTAGTCCCAACGAAGAGCGTGCTGTAGATGAAGACAGGGTTGCCCAGACGGATTCGGAGGACGACGGCAACTAACATCCTTTTGGAAGTTGGCGGAAAGTGCTGCACCTATCCTTATGTCGTCGTAGATAGAAAGCATGACGGCTTCGTGGCATCAGAAAAGAAGAATTTCAAAACAAGGCTACTTTTTCTGAACAACACGCCCCGGTGTAGGATTTTGGTTTTGGCGCCCATTTTGCCTTTGTTATCCTTCAGAGTGCTTGGTGAGCTCGTCGGTCTTTACAGACTACCAATGTTGGAGCCGAGTCGCTATCGCTTGGTAGGCCACTTTTGCGCCCTTATAGAAGTTGTAAGCAAATGAAAGGGGGAGAAGCCAGTATCTCGTATCCCGGTTGGTACTCAAGTCCCAAATTTGAGCCTAGTTCATGGCTATTTGTTCCATCGGCGCCTGCGGCCATGTTCGTTGCCTTCACGATAAGCCATCGAATCCGGACTGGGGTTGCCCTATCCGGGTGCGTTTCCGTTTTCCAAAATGGAAAGGTCCAACAACTCGACTCCTCTTCGAGTTAAAGGAAGATCATGCTGCTTCAGTTCTTGCACCAGACGTATCGCGTAGCCAGGCACTCGATTGAGAAAGTAGCTGACTGCCCAGCCTCTTGCTGGGCTTGAACAATGCAAAGAATAATGATGCACGAAATCGAAACAGTGGAGCAGTCCAGGATTTTGACGGAGGCAGCGCCGGATATCCTCGGTGAAGAGTGAAGAACCCAAGACCCTGCATAATTGAAGGAAAACTCCTGTATGAATTCGCGCACCCCAGCTCTGGAACAGACTGGCGAGACGATCGTCTGTGTGATCAACGGACAATACCGTCTGCAAAAGGGCATCTAGGAAATCTCCAAATTCACTGGCCGTAGATACCATGGCATTGCCAACTATTTGTCTATCTTGGCAAAGTAACTTCAAAAGTCTCTCCAAAGCAAGGACCTGCTGATTCTTCTGGGCTGATGACACCCGTTCCGTGGCGATTGAAAAGATAAGCTCCAACGTCTCGTCGATTTTCAGGGATCCCCGCAAAACTGAAGAGCCCGAGTCCAGCAACCAAAGAATAGATAAAAATGCATTGTCACTGCAAAATCGTCGCATCGCAGGTAGCGCACGGGCGCCCAGTTCCAGTAAAGTCGGTATCATCGGTCCTTTTCTATGACAGACAGCCAATACCAAAGGAGTACATCCGTATCCTAGTTCGGCATTGACATCCACTCCATTCCGCTCCACGATGATCCTTACCAAGCATGTCAGACCTTCTCGTATGCTTGCCTGGAATGCCTCCAAGTTTGGACGACATAGGCCTCTCAAAGCGCCTCGCTGGACTATTAGCACAGCTGTCGTTTCTTGATGGTTAAGGATCGCTTCCATTAGTGGTGTCTTTCGGGTGAGATGTAGGCCCTCCTTGTCATCGACATCAAGACCCTGGTCGATGAGATAGCTAACGATATCATCCAATCCTCTCCGTGCGGCAAGATGAAGTGGCGAGAAGAGAGTTGCGTCGACGCGATAAAAGGACAGAGGATGGGATTTCCTAGCGTCCTGGCATTTTATGAAATCGGCCCCTCCCTCTTTGGCCGCCACGAGGATTCTCAACGCATCATGCCGGTCTCGGCAGTGGACGATAGCATAAAACACGGCCGAGGATCCGTGGTTTATGACATCATTTCTGTACAGTATAGGTTTGCAAATGCTATAGAGCATGCTGCATGACTTTGAAAGTGAAGCCTGGCCGCCAAGCGAGCATAACTTTGCGATCATACAGATAATCTCCGTAGGTAATGAGGAAATCATGCCAGGCCAACTGCCCTATACTTCGCCACATCGGCCCACCCAAAAGGTTGTCTTTGAGATTTCGAACGCTGGGCGTAGCTGCTGCGAACTTCGGGAAAGGAGTGGGTAAAGACATGAAGACGACGATGCCATTTTCAAAAGCAAAGAAGATACCGTGTACAAAAGGTTCAATGAATATCCTTTGCGAAGCACAATCACGTAAGGCAATTATAGACTTAGCGGTAGTAGATGAAAGAAAAGCCTAAAAAAGCACGTCACTCTAGGAACACCAACGTTGGATGATAACATGTTTGCCGCCTGGGCAGCAACGGTAGTTAAGAAATGACGTATAGAGAAATTCAAGTCGAAAGTCCGGTCCTCAATTTTTCTTCTAGCTTCTTTTCTAAACGACTCTTCAGGGTAGTTTGCTGCAGCGAAATCCCACGCGCAACGTCCTTGAATGCAAGGTATCGCATGCCAGTTCGGTTGGCAAATTGATATTTTTAGTACATGCATGACTAGTACGACAGGTACGGCCCCTGGCGTCTTTCGGCCCCAACAGCATGGGGGTGTCTTCGTGCTCGGCCATCAATAGCCCCTCTTGAGGCCAACTCCTTCTGGCCGTCTGTCTCCTAGAAGATTTGACTAGTTCTAATCGAAAGACATATTCATCTATCAACGAATTTGCATACATATTGCATTAATAAGCAAGTGGGTGTAGTATATTTCAAGTTTGGAAATCAGAATAGGAAAGGATAAACAGGTCATGTATTGCGGTATTGTGCCGTCATGCGGGAAGTTGAGGCCGCGATAGTAAGTTCTTTAGTCGCCGCATTTCAGATGACATGCACGCTGCTGGCCAGGCCTAAAACTCAACATAAAGAGCCAGATGACCAGATGGAAAGTTGTCTACTGAAGGTAAGCTTAATGATATTTCTTTATACCTTTTTAACCTCCTCGTCGTAGCTACATTTTAGAGATGATATCGCTCCCAAAAAGGGTGTTTTGCGCGCCTATCTACTGCGGCCCTCAAGAAATGAGAGACGCCGTCATAAGAGAACTTGAGTCTTTAGAAAACCTTAAGCTTGTTCCATGGCTTGTTGCCTCTACAGTCTTCTTAAATAAGGATGGCTCTTTCTCTTTTAAAGTGATAGATGAAGGGTCCCTTAAAATGGGTGTGCAGAAAGTATCTTCATTTATGGTCAATCTCTTTTACTCGCCAAGACTGAAGGTCCCGGAAGAACAGCAGAGACTACACTATGCTCGGCGAAGACTGCTAATCTCACTCCTGGCGCATGCGTGGCTCTGGAGGAGACACAAGGTATTGGATAATCAGGGCAACCCGGTAGCCTTTGAAGACAGGAGAGTCCTTGCACCTGAAGATATCCTTAAGTTTCTTAAGGATACTCAGGTTCACAATAGGCAATGTCGCTGCGAAAATGTCCGAGATTTCTTAGAGAAGAAGGTTCAGGAAGTGCCTTTACTTGAGGATACGTCGAAGTGGAATGTGATGGGGGTTACTGCATGTCTATGGTGGGATAAGTCACATGATTTACGCAAACATGACGTACACAAAGGCCCATGGTGCTCCTGTCGTCTTGAGAATGCAAATAGGCTTCCAACGCTCAGTTTTGCCGGACCAAAAATGGTAACGACGGCTGCAGCTGGTCTGGCCCAAGTACGCCTGCCATCTTACCACGAAGCATCTTGCCACGAGGCTTGCCCACCACCTTATCATCCAAGCTTGCCCAGTCGAGAGTCAAAATGCACTCCAAGAGAGTTAAGGACACTATAGGTAGCGAATTGTGGAGGATGTTGAGACACAACGATAGTGAGAAAATGGGATGTTAGGCAGAGACTGATTAGGGTATGAGTGACTTGACGAGTCTACAGTAGGCATTGTATGTAAGAATTAGTGAATAGTATCCTATTGGTCAATGCAAGCCGCTGGGTGTAATAAATTGTATTGTATTGTACCGTCAAATAATGAAGGATGGTTTGTACCTATCCTCCGTGCATCTGACTCACAAGGTAGATGACTTGCTTGTGCTAACTACAGTATCACTCAAAGTTCCCATTCCTTCAAGCGAATTGATGTGTCTTATGTAGAATCTAAGCATCTGATGAAACTATGAGATTGTAACCGCAGGCTGCTGAATTGGTTCTGGCCTACCTGTTGAGGACACTTTTCGTAAATCTCCTCTCTCGGATGTTCCGATACATCTCCATTCGGCCATTTGAGAAAAACGTGATACGTACTTGTTGATTCGTCAAATTCCATGTGATCTATCTCAGCACAATCCCATTGGATGCTGGGCCCTTTGTTTTGCGCGGCTGAATGGCCTCCAGCGTCAGTAATGTCGCTCTTGGTAGCGAATCTTTTCCGTGATCGTGTTCTCATGGCGATTGACAGCCTCGGGACTTAATTAAAAAGCTTCTTGCAAATAAAATGAGGGAACGCTCGGATTTCTTCTGTTGTTGTTAGGGACCTGGGGCGAATCCAGCAGTTCTACAGTCCAAGACTATTTATTATAAATCATTATGTCAACTTCTTGACCTTATTTGACCTAAGATTTTGGATCAAATTTGGCCTTTTTCTACTGATCCCCCAATATCCAAGATACGGAACAAAGATCCCGTATTTGACCACAACCGGCCAATTTCAGTGTAAGAATCCGCAACCAGGGGCCGACTTAGTGTGCTTACACCTTGAATCCTTCAAGCCCAAGACCGTCGGAGCTGTAGGAACATACATCTTACACAAGGCGAGGATAAAGCAATAGCATTCTATTTTAGATCAAATTCGGAATATACAAAGTACATATCAGTTACTTGTGTGTCAAAATTCGCCATTTGATACAAAACGATTCCTCACTCCCAGCTTTTCTTTTCTTTTTCTTCTCTCCAGCATCGACCCTTAATTTGGCGGCTTCATCCCCTGTATTCAAGGGAAGGAATAATGCAGAAGACAAGCAATAGCTTTGAATGCATCCGAAGTACCTTCTGAGAATTTCAACTCTTCCGCGCACTGGTCTTTGCCTTTTGTATCTGTTCGACTTGCTAACAATTCTCGCTCATGGATAGAAATTGGCAGCGCCGTAGCGCTTTGGATAAGTATAAAGCTCCACGCGAGGATTTTCAAGTTCATGGCGAGAGTTGGGTTAATGGCGCACGCGATCTTGGCTGCTATCGTGCAACCACAGGAGAGGCTTTTCGAAGCAAGCCGATGACAAGGCAGGCTCAAGACGCGAAACAGCATGGGCCCCATCGTTTATATAATCCGCGCACTATTTTCAATAGAAGCTGTAGTCTAGGGCTGAATCAATGAGAGAAAGAAAATTCAGACAGGCCAAAAATGACTTTGGAGTCTTTTACTTCCATTGCCTATCAGTGGATCTTCTCGTCGAGTTGTGGGCCCGTTTGGGGCTCTTGTGTACGTCAAGAATCGGCCCATGGCAATTCAGGGACCTTTCCCATCCTGGTGTACTACTATCCTACGGTCATTTTTGCATTCAGTCCTGGATTCGTTTACCAAGAGAATCGGGATAGCCTCCTTCTTTCGTTCTGTTCGACTGAATGACCACCTTTTCTATTGTTCATGATCGTATTTTCTGCGATTCCATGTTGTCCTTCCGATTACTCTACTCTCACCCAGATGAAAAAATTCTATAGCACAGTATTCAAGTGTTTTTAAACCGGGCACACGACCATTATGGCTAAAACAGATGATAACCATGAGAATGACAGCATGTAAGTGAAACGTTTGTCACCAGCTTTTCTAATATCATGTAGCCTGGACTGCTATATTCATACTGATCTGAATTAGATACTTAGTAGATTCTATCCAGGATCACTTCGTTGATGAAGACGTAAGGGCCATATTAGATTTTGATTGTTTGCTTTCTACCTTGTTCGACACCTTTATCGCGCCACCTAAACCTTTCGTTATTTACCTTCTGCTCCTCGTATTTCGTGGACGACGGAGGTTATACGAATATTTTCGCTTAGGCCATCATTGCCTCTACCATTCTAGGCTGGCACGACACTGATAGATACCAGGGCTGCGTGTATTTCCAAGTGAAATGGCAAGGCCATGAGAGCAGCAAAGAGTGGACGTGGGAGCCCCAGACGAATCTTGAGTCAGTTGCCTGTTTCCTGCCCCTACGCTCCGCCTAGCTGACCCTTGAAATTCGGAGACAGAGTCGAAGGCGATATGTTGGTGAAAGAATATTTTGAAACCCTCGCCAAGAGACGGAAGAGAGTCCGAAGGTCTGCGAAGAAGCAACCAAGTCCATCCGTCGCTACGGGTGGCACTGGACGTGGCAGGAGGAATGAACGCCATCGAACTGTCCCCTCAGGCCGCATAGCAAAGTTGGCGTGGGAACCCCCACGAGGTAGTTGGGAACATGAACCTTTCCATATCGACGGCTGCGGGGGAGACAGCGCAGAAACCCTGATGATCTACATTACCTGGCTCGGAGGTCACAAGACCAGGCATAAAATGGATGTGCTCTGCAAAAAGTGCCCCCAGAAAGTAAGAATATCTTGATTTCATAAATCGCCAGTCTTGCGGGATCCTGACAATCTTCTTATCTTAGATGCTCCGTTACCTTGAACAGTATGTGTCAATGTCGTGATGACATGTTTCGAGTACCGTTACGTGAGCACGACTCGCTAGATGGTGGTGCGGAGCAGTGGAGGATATGTCAATGTGACTATGCAGTTCAGAAAGGCCCATTTGTACCGGAAGCCTTGAGGGTTTGACTTTGAAATACCGACAGACCAAGAGGGTGACTGCGAATGTACGCAGGGTTGAGGAATGATAAACAAATCAACTACATAGTAGTTATCTACTCTGATCTCGCCGCCAAGAGACATGAGGGTCTATCTTGTACTTCTGAAGCATCCCAGACCCCATTGGATAGATGGTTGGGTAGGGATGGGATTAATTGAATATGCTGTCGAGTATAGTAGTGGCCGCCTGACACCTCTTATCTCGTACCTGTTTCCATCTAGAGAAGCCAGAAATGAAGCTCCTGAGAGCGATCACATTGATCCGTCAAACACTAAGACACTCAGCTCTGGACGGCGTCCATACAGCTCCGGTTATGGCTATAAATATGGCTGGTTCGCTTGGGAAGTTGACTGCATCGTCTCGCCCTTTTCATCGTGGAACAGCCGGTGATCAGAATGCTTCTAGAACCCCTTAACTTCGGAGGTCATAGCTCAAAGAGCCAGGAATCGAATTTGGATTATTGCCACGATCTGCCTGACTATTGCAGTCCGTCGAGCCATGTGTCGCTCGGTACTCCCCGTCAAACAATTTGTCCACTTTCGGAAGCCCAGGAGCCCGAATCTACTTCTAGCGAGTATGAGCCAGTACTGAACGACGTACCGACATGCGACTCGTTTGGTCCAAATGTTAGTATGCAGGAGAAAATGGAGGAAATGAGCAGGGAGCTAGACATTCTGAAGGCTACTGTTCTTTGGATGCAGGGCGTACAGGACACACAAAATAGGGTCATAAGCAGGCTATTGGTATCACAAAGACGGAATAACAGGGTTGGAGGGTCGTATGAGGTCAGGAGCTGAGAATAAGCGACCAGGAGTCTGATTACAGATATAGTCAATTGTGAACTTTGAAGCTTCTCGCCTGATCAGATCTAGCTGCGGCGCCGGTCGCGGCCAAAAAGTGACCTCCAGATTTGACAGTCATAGTTCATTATTAGACGCCTCACTGAATGTGTACTGTATTGTAACATAACAACGACCGCTATGTTCGTACCTCGGTGTGTGGAATCCTACAATACAATTACACTCATCTCCCATGGCATCTTATGAATTAAATAAGAAGAGGGCTTGTATGTATCCCAGCCATTGTGCCGAATCAGAAGACACCATATTGAAGAAATCCATAGGCACTCCTTTGTGTGTACGCAAAGTGTGATCCGTCCACCAGTCTGAAGATGCAGCGACTCGATCCATATAAAACAACCGGCGATATGAGTCAAGAAGCAAGCGAGGATGGGCTGCTCTTACGAAGATGTAGGGATAGGCTTGCAACACACATTGGTTAGTGCATAACCCGCAAGAGCAAAACTGGCTTGTCTAACAGAAGTAGAAAGAAGAACTGGTGTCAAGGTAGAACCCGCCGAAGTTAGTTTGACGACAAAGCAGAGTCATGCTTACACTTGGACTTATACGGCGGAAGTAGCCCATTTGTTTTCCAAAGATCTCGACGACCACGGAATCGAAGCATACCAAAGGCTTTGTATAGAAGTGGGAAGAAGCTTCCATGCCGTGTCATTCACCAAGAGCGACTTGGCAGGCAGTCAACTGCGCTCAGGAAGCCCACCACCATTCTGCGTACCAACATTCAACGTAGATGCAATGGAGTCTGGTGATGTAACTGAGCGCGTAACTCTGCTGAGCCACCAGCTCTCCATGATGGAGACGAGTACAGCCTACGACGCAATCACCCGGATGCAATTGCAGGAAAATATCTCCACCTTGGAATACGAAAACGAACGTCTCGCGCAAGAAGCCAGACAGCAGCGGGAGGACGCCGTATATCACCGGGATTTCGTTTACAGGCTCTTAGAAGCCACAGATCAGCTGAACTTGACTATCGGGGATATTCACCAGGATTACATTAGAACAGTCAACGTTAGTATGTTTCCGAAAGATGATATTGCATCGCGCTAGTTGAGGAGATCTTCATCTTGGATATGCCGCGTGTACTGTTTTGCAGTATAGCACAAGTGAGAGGGCATGTGGGGAGTTTCGCATTGCCCAGTCTGGTAATGTGAGAGATCTTATTGTGAATATGGTGGCTATAGATAAATAAATAAATCCCGTTTTCTTGAACGCGGCTATGGTCAGAGATGTCGACATCAATATACTCAAACTATGTTCGGAATCATGAGTCCATCGAATTCCAAGTCTAGTAGAATTGAGACGGAGCTTGGCATTTGCGGTGAAGAACAAATCTTTTCGATGCTAGATATGAAAGCAAATTGATGCAGAGATACTGACGGTATGTCATCTAAGAATGCAGTGGCTTTCGGCGGATTGCTAAAGTGAGGTATGGTGTCTGCTGTTGGATTTCAGAGCATGCTTACTACAGTATAAGCACTACGAGGAGGGATAGAGAAAAAAAAGAGAAAGAGAAAGAAATCAATGTGCAGCGTAAAGGTTTACGCATATAAGGTCGCCAGTCGTGCGTAACTTCCGGTCTACACACATCGTCTACATCTTACGCGTCTACAATGATGGCATTCGAAAAACAGGCCTTGTTCCGGGTTTTTGCAATCAGGACAGATCCATTCTATCAGACAACTGTTGGCCCTTATGAGCCATGAATGCCGATCCCCTGGACCTGAGTCGCAGACGTCTCCAACGTCCCTGGATGATACTAGATCGGCCGACGTATTGGTTGACGAAGGTAGGTATGGAATGTAAGGGTCAGTGCCATCCTGGTCCTTTGCACTTTGGCAATATTGCGCGCAGCCACATAATTTGTACGAGATCGTATTCATGGCCAGACAAGCGAGTACACACGTACACGTTGTATTGGAAAAGCTTTCAAGTAAATTCATATAGCCACAGGCGGCGGAGAGGTCTTTTCATATATCCATGCGTAGTGATGACCCAGGCCTTATCTGGCCGAATGCTGGAGCCTATAGCTTTCGTTGATTGAAGAGTGAGCCATCACTTCTAGACTCTTTACAAACAAGACCGCACGGCACTGACTGGGGCAGATGTGACGGGCGATGATGACGCCAAGATACGTCTTGTTTTGTATGAACTATACTTCCCGAGCATGCTTCATATTTCACACCGCAAATGCGTGGTAACCGCCATATTAAGGCCAATTTCAGTTCTGCTTCAGAGTGGATGAACCATTGACTTGCGTAGGGGCAACAAACAACATTCATTGAAACCTGGACCGGATAATAACGGACGAATCATGGTAGTTCTCAGGTACTTGCCATTTCAGTAGAGGTGATGAATGATGTGTTGACATTATTTTACCTATGATATGATCGGTCTCAAATTCAACGTGGTGCTGTGAAGTTCAAGGCGATTAAATCATACAGTACACAGTATACAGTAGTGCATTCACGTATGCTGAGCTGTCTTCTATATTTTTCATCAATGGTAATGTCTCCTGCCTTGATTGTCCAAATACATCGAAATGCTTCAGCGTAAGTCCGACGAGAGCATCCAGCTTTGGATCTTCTGAGCCTGACAATCCCCTCAATTTGATAGTAACGAGAGAACTGGGCCCTTCGTCGACACTTGTTCTTGCAAGATTATTGCATCATTATAACTACATCTCGCTATTTACAGCCAACCTGGGCACCATATCGCTCGCGTTCACAGCGCTTGCAGTGGTGGGAGCTGATGGCCTGACCGAAGGATCTTCCGCCGTGGTGGCCATTCTGATGAGCGCTACAATGACCGCCATTGTCGCCATCATGATCGCGATAATGCACCGATCAAAACCTTGTTTTCAGAGGCTCGATCTCATCGCAGCCTCGACACCTCTGTTCTTGGTCGATCTCGTCGTCCTCGAGATCTTGGTTGGCCTTCTCGTGTGGTACACCAGTAGCTTTACGGCAAGATTTGCTACGTACCTAGTCATAGAGCTCTTGGTTCTCATGACTATGATGGTGTTGGTAGCGATATGGGTCTGGAGGAAGATTAGGATCTTAATTCGTCTCGGCCATTTCAACTGTGTCGAGTCATATAACGCCATCGACGGCTAACAAGTCCAGAAGTAGCACACAAAAAACACGGCAAGATGCATTTGCATGATTCAGCAACACTGTAAACTGAGGAACGGAGCGAGCGGCTTGATCGAATTTAATTCCAGCGACGTCTCGTAGGAATACAAACTGCTATTGGGAGATGCCCGGGTACTTAGGATAAGGGCTTACGCATCTTGCCTTTGACTATATCTAGCTTAACTCGTACACCTTTAAACCAGAGTGAATGATATTATCCACCGGAGCTGGAATAAATAAGGCTTAATTATGCATCAATTATAGTTATATGGAAAGGCAATGCTACATCCTAGGCGATCTACGACCACGCAAATATGAAACAGACATGCCACGACCGGAAATACAGACCAGCATGTTGACTGCTTCAAGGACTAGATTGGCACAGTTCCGATTGATATTGCATTGTATTGTTTCTGGTACGTACAGTACAGTACAGTGGGGTGCGGGTTCAGCGTCAGTAATCTATCTATCATTGTAATTCTTCCAAAAATGCCCCAAACTGGACGAAGTGTGTCGCATGCACGGTGTACCGCTATTGCAACGGTGACCCCTGCCCTCTATTATATCACAATCACTAACGCCACCTGGATGCTTTACTATTCCGGTAATTAATAGTTTGTCTCACAACCAACTTCTGACCGCTTACAGTATGATTTAGAGTGTCAGCCTGAATTTTCCTTGTTGGAGTTACTGATTCCACAGATTATATTTAATCACGCATCCTACACTACTAGATTACTATATTGTATGTAACAAGATAATAAAGTATGTAGAAGCAGAAATCTAATATGGCCTCTCTACCTTCAAGAAGACCTCGTCTTGCGGCGATGATCAGCCTTCTTATGTATAACCTCCCAAAGCGACCTGCGACGCGGTTTTTGATCTTCCTTTGATTCCCCAACTTCCTTGACTGTCAAAGACTGCACTGGTTCTGTACGAGATGGCAATTATTGTAATGCCTCCTACGTGGAAGCGAGGTACTCCATACTCTGAATCGTATAAGGATGACTTTCTCCGAGGATTAGTCGACGGAGGTCTAAGGCGGATCGGTGGAGCTGCTCAGTCTCCTCATATCGTCCCTGTGCATGGTATGTCGTGGCGGGGTCCGCCATGCTGCTGACCGTATCTGGATGCTTCTCGCCAAGTACCTCTCGTCGGAGTCCTCATGCACGAATGTCCACAGGCTCTCTCTCTCCATCGACCTCGATTACGTATGAAATACGATATTTTGGCGAGGAAAGTTGCTGCCTCGATCTCGGTCCCGCCTACCTCCGCCTACTCACCTAGTCGAATGGCATGCGTCAGATACTGCTCATATCGGGCCCACGAATCAGGTTCCGATGACGGGAAGAGATCATCTACTACCTGCAGCGCCTTGTCACAGTAGTATGCTTCATCCCGTTCTGGTAGACTTTTACACATATGGCTCTGTGTTCATGGTTGTCTTCATTTGGCCTCTCACCCTCAGTCCGTATCGTATACCCCTTTGCACGAGCTTATGCATCTCATATCTTCGGCCGCCATTTTCTGTCTGACGCAGGCTGAGGAAAGAAAACTCTTTCAATCGCGAGATGGCTTCTAGGGCCTCAAGCTCCGAGGCATGTCTGTTTGGGTCTCGCGAGGTAATATCGTCAGCATCGTCAATGTCGAATCGACCAGCTACCATTGCTAATAGTAGCTCTTGCGGTATGTCTTGATTGTCCACATACGCAATCACGTGCCGTATCTAATACGGCATCTCGCTTTCCGCTCCGTTCCGCTCTGTTGAGATCCTCCACGTCTCAAGCACGCTATTCGACACCTCCGGCCATCGATGTCGATCAGCATCGCTCACTTTCAGAACTTCCCATCGAGTCTTGCCTTGCCTCAGGAGGTCTAGGTATCCCTTTGCAGTCATTGACATCCGCCGCATATAGGCGCCGGCTTGCGAGACCGCCAGTGGGAGACATTGCAGCTCTTCCTGAAGCGAACTGACTCCTGCCTCACCTGATACCCGTCGGGGTCTATTATCAATTAAAAATCTTCCATACATTTAATCATATCCAAAAACAATGGGACTAATGCGGCGGCACTAAGAACAGGTTGGATTTAAGCTCCGGGAAGAGTATAGGTCATATCAAGTCATATAGAGAGTATGTGTCTTACAACGTCTCTAGATAATATCAGCGCCTCCAGGGACCGCCTCTCTACAGGAGGAGCATCCTTGCGCTGAGGAGGGTAACGCTCCAACATATTCGGATACCGCAACACGCTGAAATTATATCTATGGATTTGAGTCCCTCATCTACCTTCTGCGAAGCTGCAATCATCAAAATTATTTCATGTTATTCTTGATTGCCACTTTGCCTGGGCCGCAGGAATGTGTCTAGGCGATATATCTCAGGCGAGCCATTCAAGGGCCCAAACAAGACACACTTGGGGGTGACATGCTATAAATAAATGCAATAGTCTCAAAGTAGCCTTCAAGGTCTCCTTTTCGTAAGTTTCGTACCGCATGGCCCTCATCCCCCTTTTATATCAGATACATGCATTACGTATCAGGATCGTGTCAATCTATAAGCAGGTTGTGGAAAAGATCTGCTTTTATCATGTGACAAGTGGGGTTGAGGTATTTTTCCTCCAACATCTCTAACCCACAATTTCAGGCATGATTTTCTCCATACTACTACATAGGTAAAAGTGAAACCTAATCCTCAAGGTATACCTATCCCAAAACTCCTTCTTCTTATCCGACTATATAGCATGGCATTGCTCTGCAGTCCAGGAAAAGGGCAAATACCAAAACCTTGTACTGATCACTTCTCTGGCAGAGCAAACAGAAATTCCAAATGTCAATACTCGAAAGGGCGCCGAAAAGCAGAGACGATCTATGGATAACGCTCCCAAAGGAGCTCGTTCAGATTATTGGCGAGTATTTGCTTGCTGGCTCCTCTGGCCTTCGCTTACATGCTTGTCCTTCGCCTAAGGTCGATGGATCAAACATCCGATACTCGATATGTAAGGATTGGATGGAATATGGGACGGTTTATAATCTCATGGGATTAGAAGTCGTTTTTGGGCCCCAGTAAGTTGCGAACAGAACATGGTTTTTTGATGTTTGGCTCATCGTAATTCCAGGCTGGATATTCTCAGGAATAACTTGCAGCTAATCGTGAGCGAGATGGATGTTCTTAAAACTCTACCGGGGAAAGATTGGCTTTCGAACATTCACTTCAACTTTTATGATAAAGCTTCCATGGAGTCTTGGTCGGGGGAGATCGCCAAATTTAAGTCACTGAAGCGGATCTCGGCCTATTGTCTTCAGTATCAAGCCGGCGGTGAGGCATGGGCCAAGTCTGTCCACGATTTCTTGGCCTCGGAGAGCCCTAGTGCTAAGATAACGATCACTTCCATTCTCCCATCTGGACCTGCTACAGACGGGTATATTCAACAACTCCGGCGTTCTCAACGGCGACAACAAAAACAAAGACGACACGATTTGCCGTCCGTTAAAACGCCTTGCATCATGAAGCTAGTGATGCCATCGGAACACTACCCGCACTCATCGTGCTCTGATGATGAGGAGCTCTATCTCGAAACGGGCGTTCATATCGAGATTATAAATAAAGAGAAGACTGAGCTCTTGTGGTTTGATGATAAGCTCCGCCAATGGTCGGAACGCACAAGAAGAACGTAACTACGGGGGGTGGTTATGCCGGAGCTCGACTTAGAATATAATGTCAAGTCCATATTGGCGACAACATATTGTTTAATTTATTAGCAACACTTGAGACTTTCAAACTGCCAGAATAGCAACCGATCAAATTATTTGAGCGGAAATAAAAAAAGCGCTAGCATGACGTAAGACAAACAAGAGACGACCGATATGAATTTTACGCTGGTTTCCAGGAACCTAATCACATAGGATTTGCGCTTACTAAGTCCGAAACCCGATCAGACAATTGATAGGTGGGCGCCCAGGCGCCCAGACGCCCGGACGCCTATTTATCCTTGGCTACCGGGGGGATATGAATTACATTATTCAATACTGATTCGGACCTGCGGCTGGTTTTATTCAGCTCTCCTCGGCACCGACCGATCGACCTTGTCATCCCCATGCGGAGAAAACCAGGCTCTAGAAAAATACCATGAATGGCAGCAGGATCAAGTGGATAGCCCCCGTTGGCGGCAAAACATTCGATGTGCCTACGAAATCACAAGAGAGGCATGCCTGGATCTTAGACATGTCCACGCTGAAGTGGGAGCTGAGTTTTACACCGACAGAGGAGTTCAATTGGGAGTTGCACTTTCGTTCATCAATGATTTGCCGCGTTGGGTTGATGAAGCTCTAGGGTAACATAGTGATGAAATATACTGTGCTTTCTACCTCGTGCTTTCTGTCTCATGTTTTGTGCCTCGCACCTTGCTTCCTCTTATCTTCAGTCACAGATAGTGTCTAGTGCTTCGTGTGTTTATGGAGGTTGCTCAACGGCTAGTCCTGTGTTATTTTGTTCGCTCGTTATATTCAATCCACTCATATACTGTAATGTAGGAAGCGTGTTGATGACCGTAATTTGATATAAACTATGGCTAGGACCGGACACTGCATAGGAAAATTGAGGCTGACCCCCTAATTAGTAAGTGGCTAGAAGTCTATTGCACGACAAGCTACTGATTGCCCGAATGCTGAGGCATCCAGATGTTGTTAGTGATTGCAGAGGGCAGAGGTTATTGTTGCAGTAGTGGTACACTGTGCATGCGCCACACTTGCTCCAGTTTTGGGCATTTTTGGAAGAATTACAATGATAGATAGATTACTGACGCTGAACCCGCACCCCACTGTAAGGATTCAACGTGCTGCAGTGAGCAGTTTGGCGCGGAATGGGGTAGTCGGAGTCGGCGGGGTCATCGAGATCCCTGCCTCGGTGCGAGGAGGGCCGAAGCTTGAGCGCTTTTCCTTCACATTCGGCATGAGGACGGAGCAGAACCCATTTTCCGGACAACTAGCAGCGATGGCTTACGCGTTGAGACACTTACCTGACCTTGAGTATCGAAGCGTGGCACTGTTGGCGAGCAACAAAGCCGCCGTGCTCACGGTCCGAAACCCTCGCCAGCAGTCGGGTCAAGAGTATGTTGGATGCATATATGATTCCATCAATGTATTGAGGGCCAAGGGAAATGTGGTGGCTGTCGTATGGATGCCCATCAGTGCTGAACACAGGCTCCTGAAAATGGCTAAGAAAGAGGCGCGAAGTGCGAGCCAAGACGGTGTCGTCCTGGCTCGGAAGTTTCCAAGAAGGTCGATGCTGCGCTCCCAGGCAAGCACACCCGACTGCTCTATGATGACTTATCAAGGAGAGAAGCCAGCGTGCTATCACAGCTTAGGATAGGCATGGCCAGACTGAATGGGTACCTCTTCCGGATCAGAGTAGCAGCGTCACAGCAATGCGCATGCGGGCAAGCGATACAGACAGTAGAGCATTTTCTCTTTCGATGCACGAAATGGACAGCGCATAGGACTGAAATGTTGCAGTGCACGGAGACATTGAGAGGAAACCTCTCGTTCTACCTAAGAGGAAAGTCACCATCAGATGACGCCAAGTGGACGCCAAACATGCAGGCAGTCCATGCAACTATACGATTTGCAATGCCACAGGCCGACTCGACACACAATACTGAAACCAGATTGCAAGAATCACACCCACTTATTCTTACTAACCTATTTACACTAAACACCAAACACCCCTTCTTATAAAAGCGGGCGTCGCTTCAGCCGCCGTAGATAGGACGTTGAACACTTGAAGAATAGCCTTCAAGCTAGTTCGCTGGCTATGCTAGTAAATCACGGGAAAACGCAGGGAGCAATAGGGTAAAAGGAAAAAGCACAATCGAGGAACAGGCGCATTATGGGCTTGAGGAGACCTATTTCAATTCATATGGTGAAAAGCAAGGTACAGTCTGGGCTTTAGGAAATGCGGACACAGATTGAGCAACGTGTAGCACAGCATGGGCTTGGGGAGGCGAGGACGAAAACTAGGCAATGCACGTACGTATTAGTGACTAGTGCCCTATAGGCCAAAATAAGCCGCCGGGCGTAATAAATTGTATTGTATTGTAAGGATTCAACATAGTCAAAGATTACCAATATTTCCTATCTTTGCCCCAGTGAAGATGATTATAGGCAAGATAAATCATCAGAAGGCCGAGCGCCGTGCTAGGGGTTGCGTTAAGGAGACTTCCGGACTGAACAATGGAGTATATGTTGCACTAGGTTGATTTACCAAGCGCTCGCAATACTAGAAACCCCTTGAGCCAATCCTCACCCATTAATCCACCACCTAGGGAAGAGTGTCCCATAATGGCGTTTCATTTGGTTAGTTAAGACAATGAGGATTGCGAATTCATCCAACCTAACCCATGTTCCCACATCTGACAGCTAATGCGCCTATATAGACCGACGTCTGTTTTCGAACATGTATTTAGCGCCAGTTTTGAGCGCTAGACAAGTGTTATGTCAATACCTAGAATGTGTCAAACATTGCCGAAACTTGTACTTACTAAAAGCCGGTGGAGGCTGACCTCGTAAGATTCATTATCAACCCACGAACCCATACCTGCGAAGAACCTATTCATGTAAACCAAGAGTCTGCCATCGTTCTGAAAGCATCGAGTCGTTGATATAATTTTTACTGAGAGAAATGTTCCACTCCAAGACAATCCTCGACCAAGAGATTTGGCAACGCGACTATGATGTTGTTCCCCCCGCACGGCCAGTAGACGTGGCGTTGCACTATGAGAGGGCCAAATCGATGTGTCGACATAGCGGTGCGTACAACTATCTTTCTCGGCGAACTAGGCTAAGATCGTCGCATGGTAGATCTGACGTTGCACGATATCGAGAAGTTAACCAAGAGGTTTTGGGATTTTCATTTCGACAGTAAGCCTCAACAGATGATGGTTTCGCATAGTGATATTGTCTAACGAGTCCATGAAGTGATTGCCGCTCGCGACATGACGGCTTTCATTATCGCAGCAATCCATGTGAACCTCTGCATAGGAACGCTCAGCCATTTCGCCAAGGAGCGTCCAGACCTACAAGACTTGCTCACAAAGTTACTGAATTTTGAAATTTGCGGTGAGTTCATGCTGACGGAGATTGGTCACGGCTTAGATGCTCGCAACCTGGAAACCACGGCAACGCTGCAGGCTGATGGCTCTTTCGAGTTGCATACTCCTACCACAGCAGCATCAAAAGTAATGCCTCCTACAACACCATATTGTGGAATACCACGGGTCGCGATCGTTTTCGCCCGTCTGATGGTCCGAGGGAAGAACCAAGGCGTAAAGCCTTTCATTGTGTTTCTCAGCGACGCAGATGCGATGCGACCTGGAGTCTCGTCGCGAATATTACCGACAAGACCTGGTACCAAACCACTGGATCATGCAATTACGACATTTAATCGTGTTCAGTTGCCCTATAATGCCCTGCTTGGTTCACCCGCTAAGCCAGAGAATGAGCGTGCCGAGTTTCTGTGCCATATTCGGCGTGTTGCTGTTGGAACGTTGTCGCTTTCCATCATGGGCATATCCGCTATCAGAGTCGGAACACGCATAGCTGCTCTCTACAGCGAGCGAAGAACTATCACGGCGCCCGATGGACATTCGGCTATGCCAATCATCGGCTTCAGCACTCAGCAGCGCCCTATCGTCGAAGGATGGGTCCAGGGCAAGGTTTTGACCGCATTCGCCCATTGGGCTGTGGGCATGTGCCCGGACCCTGCCCATCCGACGCAACACGCGCTTGCCACCATCTTTAAAGCGACAGTGATCAAAGCATCACGGGTCTTGGGGGAACTCGCGGAGAGATGCGGATGGCGAGGCCTTTTTGCATTCAATCAGATCAGTGAACTGGACTTTACCTTTCAGGGGAACTCCATAGCCGAAGGCGACACGCTGGTACTATGTATTCGTGCGTACCTAAATTTTCTTTAAATTTGCCATATTGGCTTGGCAATGAATGAATGACTGACAAATTCTCTTCTCAGGTTTGGTCTCCGAGCTCCTTGGCGGCAAACTACAACTTCCGACCTGTCAGAACGCGTTAACGCCCTTGGCGCAGCAAGAGCACCGGTTGATGACCGAAATTCAATCAAGACTTACGGAGATTGGAGGATACAGAAAGCATCGGACCGAGGCTTTCAATCAGCACATTCTGCCATTTTGCCGACCGTTGGTTGAAACGATCGGTCACCGTATGGCTTACGAGGCCGCTCAACGTTCAGGGATCTCACCGGACGTCCTGGAACTGTACGAACGTCTATCTACCGGCAAGGCCTTGATCCATTTACCAGCGCAAGACGCATGCAGAGTGAGATGCGGAGATCCCTTGCTAGACGAGCAGTACGAAACAATCATAGCTCAAATTAGATCGGAGGCCCTTTGTCATGATCCGATCGACGACTACATAACGGCGCCGATCGTATCCGAAGAGAAGTGGGAGACCTTTACTGAAAGTTTGCTTTGCTTCTCCCCCCCAACAAGTCTTGATAAATACAAACCGAAACTTTGAAGAATGAAGAGCTGGACAAGCAGCTGATTGGGTGGGCCTACAAGGAGGCCCCTCATTATGTTATCTAGCAAAAAACAAGATAAGAGAGAAATTGGTTGGTTAGATCCGGTTTTGGCATGTGATAAATTTCCTAAACCCAAAGCAATAATAGGTGGGTCAGCTGTATAAAGTACCGACTGTGATTGGTCAAGAACAAAACCAATGATACAGGTCAGCTCTATCAGCCCGCAAACGGGGGAGACAATTCAATTCAAGTGAAAAAAAAAAATGAAAAAAAAATTGAAAAAAAAAAAGCAACTTTGAAGAATCAAGTGTTTCTCTCCTGCATATAGAAACCATGCCTTTGCCATACGCAATTGAATGGTTCACTTGCAATTTAAATATCAATCACCATCCTTACCATACCACAACTATACAGTATCGAAGAGTTACAGTGTCATCTCTCACTCCACGAAAACATCCAGACGCCCGACAGGAAAGTTAACGGGGCTGTGCTAACTGGTCTTGGAACAATATATTGATTGTAGAAAATTCACGTAAGGATAAAAGTTACAAGACTGGTCAACATATAAAATGAGCTTCAATCAGGGGGCTAAGTAGGAGTCATTTACTTACGCATGAAAGCATATTCGTTGTACATATATGCGTTTATGAGACTAAATTTGTCACCCGAATTTGTGTTTCGTACACTCAAGCTCCGAGATGCCCTCCTCTATTCTCTCTTTTTCCCGTCTCCAAACATGGTTCTAATGTCATTATTTTATTCCTGCTTAACATTCTCAGGAACATAATCCCCTGAGCACGGTTCGCGGTTGTATCTCTAACGCATATCAGTCAGGTATAACGGCGTAGAACCTGGATCGCCGCTTGACGCGGAGCCTTATTTGCTGGGCAGATGGGTTGTTCTGCACTGGTCTATGGATGACTCTCGGCTTGAAAATGAATGGGGCGATGGTGCTGAAGATCGCTCAAAGTCTTGTATTACTTTTCTAGAGAACAGTGACGTCGTGACTTTGCTGAACCTTAGTTTGATTCCAAATTTGTGCCATTGATAACGCCAAGAATCTCGCTCAACAGAGGGCAAGACTGTTGCTCCTTTATCATCTTCTCGTATTCGGTAGGAGCCATGTCCTAGATGAGACCGTTTGAGGTATTTACGAAATATCATGAGGCAGGAATATCCATCTACTTGTTGTCAGTTATTGAAGTAATTGCAAGCCATAAAAAACAACTTCGGCTTGCCAACAAGTTAACAGAGAACAGGATAATAATTTACTGCCGTATTCAGAGGTGACAAGCGGAAATTGTACTTTAAGAATTATGTCCTAAAGTGAAGGCTATGTGAGTATTAGGCCCTGTGAGGGAGAAAAAAAAAGAAAAAAACTAACAAAATATGGCTTCCAAAGCGTTGCAGGCTATGGCTTTTTTTTTTTACTTTATCACAGTTGATTCCTACAAGCCCGACCATTATTGGTCCCGTATCAAAACCATATAGCTCATAGTTACAGGAAACTATAATGTCTTTGATCAATTCATCTAGCCATTATCACGATCTATTCCGTTGAACCGTAATCTAACAGCTTGGGCACATAATAAAGGCTCAAACAAGGACAGTCCTGAGGGAGTTAAACACTCTCGTCTACTCATTCGTAGTTAAAAGTTATTGATCACAACCAAGATTACTGCGATGATAAAACGGTTGGCTAATGGCAAGATCTCTGTACTGCATAGACTTGATCGGTCAGTAAGGCTTTCTTAGCTTCTTAGCTAACTGTGTCTGATAGTAACCAGTTTGGCAGGTTTTGACCGATCTGTATCAGAATGCTTTTCCTCATAATGCCATCCTAATGGGCGTTTGGATATGTGGAGTCGCACATGTACAATTAGTCTAAAGTACGGTGGGGTTCTTGACTCTCGTCTTCTTTTGGCCATCCGGCACGTAGGAACTGATTGAATCAATTTCAAGTTGGATAAATATTACTTGACAGCCTGCCCTCAGAGTTGGCCTTCATTCAAAACTACGATCTAAAAATTGAGCCTTTGACAGCGCGAACGGAACGTAGCGGCGTCGTTGCCTTGACCCCAACTTTAACCTACTACTGACAAGATTGACCGAGAAGTCCGATCTTGTCGGCCTCCAGAATATCGAGATCCACTCACCCCAGGTCGTTATCACACTATCCTCAGGGCATACAGAACATGGCCGTTGGTATGAAAGACAGCAGAAGCGAACCATGGCTACCATGGGATTGTTTACTGCTGGAGACTGGGACTCGGCACCTCCTTATCAGCTCGGTCTACGTCCTAATCTTTGTATACCATACGCGCCGCAGTCTGCCACTCTACCATACCAGTTGGCACCAGGAAAGGTTTTTTACCTTGACACTGCATATACTGTCTGGTGTCATCGAGTTGGCCAGGTACTATCTACGTGCGATCGAGGGCACTGTCCTGCCGGACATTGTGGACACAATTTTGTGTTTAATCCATTCCGTGACAACTCTGAGACTTGCCAGGCCATTATTGAGGGGCAATGAAACGACACGGGCGGCTTACCAGGCGCCCGCCATCATACGACCCATACTAGCGGTCATTGCGGTCGTTGGCAAAGACCCCGGTTTGCATGGAGCTGTTGTCAAACTACTGCACGCTTTCCTCTATACCCGGTTGCTCATCTTTGCATCTAAACGAATTAGATTGACCAAAGTTCAATCTCAAGCTACCATATACGCCCAGTCAGTTTTCCTAGGTGCTGTCTTGGCTATAGAATCATCCGGTCTCCCTGGGGCAGTGGCAGTCTACATTGGCACGGTTGGTTTGGTAATGGTCTTGAATCGATCCGTATCCAATTCTTTATCTCGGTCAGTATGCCCCTTATCAGAAAGCATCGGAAGCTTCTCTCTGACCATGATTGCAGATCACGAGAGGCAGTCAAATCCTCCTCACGGTTTTATCAACTTTTAGTACAATCCTGGTTATGGATTGGACTGACTGAGCTTAGTAGCATTAAGGCTCATCAACCTTCAGCGCTTGCGTCCAGTGCGAGCGATGAGTATACGGATGACAAAACCGCAGGTGCAGACAAAACAGACCATCAATCTCGTCGGTCATTAAAGCAAGATTAGCTTTTCATACATAGAAGGCTATTTATCATACGGGCGGGAAGCTCTTTCGCATCTGCGACAAGCTCTCCGTGCAGAAAGGACAGATGACAAAATTGTGTGAGAAGTTCAAGAAAGAAAGTTGTTGCGATACTTGAATCTATAGTAGCTAGGTCATAGATTAGCCGGAAGCTCAAAACGAGATGACAGACAGGTGTAGTAACCCGAATCCTTTGCATGGCCATTTTCATTGTGGACGCATGCAATTTCGATTCGTGTTTAGTAGATATCAACAAAGTAAAGCAGCCCACATAATGACAGCTAGGAATGCTTACTTTATACATTTTCGAAGACATTTGTGTTGTTATCAGCCTCAGTCGAAGTTTGGTAGACATGCTAGGATAGGTACTTGAGATGAGCAAATCAACTAGGGTGTCATTTCAGGGCACTTGACTGCTACCAGCCTTCCTCACCTACCCTGTACCGATGTAGGACACGGCACTGGCTGGCCCCAAGCCCGTTTTGCCGAGAAAAGAGGATATATTATTGCTTGAGCTGGTTAGAGTAGGGACCACCGTACAGCGTCCAGTTCGGGCTGCAGCTGTATTCTCCCCAATGTTGCGTGAGTTCCAGTCAGCTGTGACGATTATTTTGAAATGTGAAATTCATTACATTTTGACCGAAAAGAGATCATGTAACGTACATTTTGAAGAAGTACTTTAGTTGGCGAAATCTGTTTTAATCTCTTCACCGAATCCCTTGCCAGTTGATAAAGTCTTCAATCAGTATAAGAAGGTGAGAAGCAAAACAACAAATACGAATAAGCTTCGGACAGAAAAAGATGACCAAATGTGGAACTCAAAAACAATGACAATGTGCTCAGAAGCGACGGAAAGTCGGATCGACTTTTCAGAGAAGCCAGGACAGCCTCTGTTTCGTAGCGCTGATTCTCTTGACATGAGTCAAGATCAAGTGCAGGTACCTAGCTCTGTAGATACGTTGCTGTGGGAGGCGGATGAGTACCTGGAAGACATTATGCAGCACCTTGCTTACATGGAGGTAGCGACTCACAAAAAGAAATGGTTTTGAGTTCTTCATAGCTAACATCGAGCAGAATGTGACCCTGCCAAGCGTTCCCATGATCGAAATGCAAATACAAATTACGTGGCAACTACGGTCAAGCCTCATTGATTTTGTCGTCCGGTCACACCAGTACTTTCGTCTTCCTTCGCAGGTTCCTTTTCTTTCTGTCAATCTGATTGATCGATACTGCTCGAGGAAGCAGATTGGCCAAGAATACTACTTGTTGCTTGGGAGTGCCGCGCTCTGGATTGCTTCCAAATATGGCGACAAAGCCTACCAAGTGAAGAGTTTCAAGCACCCTTCGGCCAAAGAGATAAGCGAACTGTGCGATGGCATCTTTGATGAACGTATGATAGCTCAGATGGAGAGATCAATCCTGTGTACCTTAGATTGGGTACTGGGTCATCCAACAACTGACCAAGGTATCAAGTTCTTGCTGGTAGGAGAGCCTGGAAATAAGGAACTCGCTAGTATGGCAGCTTATTTGTCTGAAATATCGCTTTACCATCGAGAGTTTGTTGGAGTCAAGCCTTCTGTTATTGCCGAATCATGCTGCATGCTCGCCAAGATTATCCTATACGGAAGCCTATCCATAGGGGATAATACAGAGGCTGTGGTGATGGAAACTTTGAATTCTCTCTGGAAACACGTTTACCAACCTCCACCAGCTATTGCCAAGAAGTATTCAAGGCAGAAACGACACTATGTAGCGCAGATAGTGTTTAGCCGCCTGGCAGATTCAACAGGGCATGCAATTTGTGATGGACAAGCATAGAGGAAGTCCTTGGAAATCGACCATCTCATAGGAACTTGGTCGCATTACCAGGCTATTATAGTAGAATTAGGGTGATACTATATTCTCGTGAGCAGGTTCCCCAGAACATGAAAGGTGCAACATATTGTGTTTGGACCTTGTTCCACAAATGGCGCTGGATGCCAATATTGCGATACTTATCTGGGTATTAGAGAGTGTGGCATGTCACACTAGGGATTCTGTAACTGCATCAATATTGATGAGACACGGAACCTTCTGTAGGTGATGCAAAGGATGTATCAAAATGTACAGCGAATTAGAATCAGCTAAATGATGTTAAAGTTGTTGACCGTATAATTCTGTTCCAAACTTGCCTGCTCTTATGTCGAAAACCTCTCAACATGATGGGTAACCTATTGAAGGCTTTTTTTATCTAAAGTATGCATTCGAATGGAGGCGAATGGTACAGTACCTTAGCATATTCTGTCTCGCCACAGGCTCATACCAGAGTCTAGGCGCCCGATGAATTCTCAAAGGTAGATTCATATGCTAGACGATTCCGTCAAAATCTAGCACCTATGGAATCGGACTGGTACGTACCTCTATGTATAATTCGGACTAAGGACGCGATTTCAGGATACCTAACGAACAGGCAGTCCAGTACAGGCTGCCGTAATACCAGAACGGGCTTCAAAGATGGTTGTGATCGATATGGTTTTTTGTTACAACAAGGAAAACCACAAAGCCAGAAACGGAAGTGACCTTTTTGACTTTGGCGTCAGCTATATATAAAGGTTAAACAGCAAAGTGATTAAGGTTAAAACAAAATTAAAAAAGAACGCGAATCAAAGACACGTCACGATGAAAAGAAGTAGAGACTCAACGGATGATCAAAAAGACTCACATGCACAAAAGAAAGTTAGGAATGGCACATCTATCCCTTTCGTACATCGTTTGGAAAATGACATTGGGACCGGCTTCGCGGACTTTACCACAAACATGTATAGTTCACGCAACAATAAGAGAAACATTGATGAAATGAACGGGCAGCCTGAGCCTGAGTCAGACCGACCAGCTAAGCGCATGGATCATGACCATGTCATGCGAGACGAAGTTATAATGCATAGCCCACGTAACAATAAGAGAAATATGGAAGAAATGGGCGGACAGGTCGAGCCTGATTCAGACCGACCAGCTAAGCGCATAGATCATGGCCACGGTGTTACATGGGCCGATAATGTTGACGGTCCACGCAGCAACAAGAGAGACATTGAGGAAATGAACGGGCAGCTTGAGCCTGATTCTGACCGACCAGCTAAGCGCCTGCATCATGACCATGTCATGCAAGAGGAAGCCATAATGCATAGTCCCGTTAATAATAAGAGAAGCATGGAGGAGATGAACGGGCAGCTCGGGTTGGAGTCAGACCGACCAGCTAAGCGCTTGGACCATGGCTACAATACCATGCCTGCTGCCAGCGATCATGATATCATGCGAGATGAAGTCCAACCGAACCAAGGATTGGGGGGTGAGATGACCGTCTACGCCAATCGAGTTAGGGTTTATCATCGACTTTTGGAGATTAGTATTGACGAAAACCTATGTAACGCGTTGAACGTAGTCTATGCAAGCGATATCACAATTTTGGCCACAACCATCCATGACTCTCCGCAACACATCCGTTTGTGGGCTTTGCAGCAACTGGATGAGAAATTCAGAAGAACTATCATCGAACTCATGTCGGACATTGAAAGGCATAAGGAAAATAACGACCCTAAGTCTGCTCTCCCTACCATCATGACAGACTCGTTGGCCCGTGAACGCGTTGTCGGGACCCGGACCTGTTTTGTATGCGAAGATGGATTTTGCAGTGAAAATAAGAAAAACCCGGTAGATGTCGAAGACGTCGTTTGGAAAGACTGCGGCGCTCATTTAATGCATCTAGAGTGTTTTCGCCGACAAGTCTTGGAAGGCAAAATGCCCCTCAAAGGCCTTTGCGCATGTATCGATAACGTTTGCTAGATCCAACACACAACTTTCAACTTGGATGAGAGTAAATAGTAGGAGAATAGGCACGTAAGGAACAAATCAGCCCAAAAAACGTATGTTTGATGGATTTTAGGGGATTTGTATCATGTTCTTGAAATAAACCTAGCTTGTTTCATGTTTTTAAAATAGTCATAGCTTGTCACAGGCACTATTTAATGTGAATATCTGGCTTCCTTGTACTAATTGCGTACCCTGTACCTTGCTCTTTGCCTACGAGATAAGTATTCCTCCACATACAGAAGAGACATAACAAATTACAGCAACTTCCAATGACGCATCCCAGTCAGCCTGTCAAAGCAATGCATGGGCCTCTAGAATCATCTACACCGGGACGATTTCTCCGGTACCGTACGCGACATTCTTAACCCTCGATTCAATCTGTAGAGGATTACCTAGAACGCTTGGACAGCGTGGCTGATTACTTGTAGTCAGATCTAGGTTAGATTTCTCGTCGACGCCATATTTGCAAACGGGGTCATTGATGTTGTACAATTGATAATTCTGCGCGACCCAGCTCGTAGGCTGGCTGATGCACGACGAGACATAATTCATGCTATTGGCGGCGGACAGGGGAAGTTTACCTTCGTGAAGCAAATGTCGACATTCCGATGTGTCGACGATCTCGTATGACATTTGGATCCCTCCACCGACCAGGGGGTCGTCGATGGCTGATGCACCGAAACCTAGGAAGTTCCAAGCATCGTACGAAATATCATACGCACCCCCAGACTTATCAATACGTAGAAGATGAAGGGAGCGCCCCTCATTTGAGACTTTGACGCATATTCCATCGCATCAGACGTCCAAAGGCCAGTAAGCGATACGGTTCGTATCAACCTTACAGCCCAAGACTCCTACGGAGCTAGAGTACTCTGCGTGGGGGGTAATGAACGCGAAGCTACGAGAAGTCAGACGACTAGCGTAGACATCTGATATCCAGAGAGAAACGGTATAGGCTAAGAAAGTCGGCCAAAGTTGCGAGGCTGACCGCATGTCGAGAGGCGAGAATATTATGTTGGCACGACGCATAAATCTCTACGGGGCCCTGGTCAATAAATGTACAATAGGATGGATCCGATGGAATAGCCTCTGGCGTCAAGAACCCCAAATGACAAGGTGGCAGACGGATGCGGATCTTCTCCTAACTTTCAACTCAATTTGGACTTGAACGCGTATGCTGTGAGACCAATAACCGCTGTCGCGACCTAAATAGTCAACGATGTAGAACCAGCCATCTTCTTCCGTCTGCGGGGAAGCCCTCTATTAAGGCGGAAATTTCAGCTATACGCCAATATTCCGTAAGAGATTTCAACAAGGTTAGATAGATAGGCTCCGGTGAACAAGACCGCGGGCCTGGACAGGGCAGAATGGTTTGCTTGGTTTCAAATATAGAATGAACGACTAACGAACAAGAGACGGGAAGTTGGGAGTCTATTGGTAGTTGATTGTATCTAACTGACTAGATTAACTTAAACCTGCTTCAGCATGCTTTTGTGAATCCGTATGTATATTTTGGTTTGGTCGTTGATCCCTATCGCTTAGTCAATCATTGTGAGTATTAACAGGGTTCATGGTGGCGAGTACCGTATCACCGCGCTTAAGAGCTTGACCATGGACACTTATGTGGCTTCAGAGATAATAACACTCTGCTGTTGTATGTAATTGAGCAACATCCTTTGTGACCGACAGCATCTGTGCTTCCATCTCCTTCCATCTCGCTGTTCCGTAAGTAAACCAGGGTTGAAGCGATCGCTCGTGGAGCTCTCTAAGACTGATACCGGAGGGACGGGCCTGGATATCATATTTCCTTTCCTGACCGGTGAATGCGTCTGGCAGAAAAGAATTGATCCCGGGTAGTGAGGTCGCTTTTGCTGTAGTCGATGATGAGATCGCATCTTTCTTTATCATTTCGTTCTTGGACTCGGAAGCTTTGGGATACTTTTCCCTGACTGATAGAGATGCATTAGGAATCTTAAGCTCAGAAATATCATCCAAGATTACCACAGTCTTCTTGGACACCGCTCTTGTATCGAGCCTGTCGGGTGATTGTGCAGGTATGTTTCCCGTGTTGCTGTTCGCGGTTTTCGGAGTGTGTTCGTTATGATATGTCGGAGAAGTCGAACTTTGGTCGCATTTTAGGCGATCTTCTTCTGCTTCTTGAAGGCGAGGAATGATTCTCATATGGGGCATGTCGTCCCTCTGTTGAGATTCAAGTGCTAGAACTTCAACCGTAGCTTCGGACCTGTCTGACGGGTTGTGAGGTGAGTCCCTAATGGAAACAATCTCATCATCTGCTGCACCTGCACGATCGCCGGTGCTATCACACTGGATCCTTCCAGAGATATCCCCTGAAACGATGCCAGGCGAACACTCAGGGAGACATTCTCGATCCTCTGTTTTTTGAGAGAGCCGCGAAGACTGACGCAGGGCTGACGGTTTCCTGTCTTGAGCATGCTCTATTCTCATTTTCTGATGAGAATATTTGTCGTCTTTTATGGCATTTTCGCGTCTTGGCCTCGGCACACATCTGCCATGTCTATCGTCTCCGTAGGTAGAGACTGACCTAGGGATAGAAGTTGATTTCCTCCTCCTTTTACAGGAACTCTCACTCGCCTGCACATCCTTAATTCAGTTGTAGAGAAGTCCAAATCATTTCAAGTGACTTTGCAAGCCACTGCGGGTTTAACTTACCGAAGTGGGAGCACAGACTATGGTTTCTTCAATGGTTTCTTCCATGATAGATACGAAATAGGAACGTGCGGTCCTCAGCGAGTACTGGCGTTGCGTAGGTAGATAGTGTAAGTTCAGATCGTCGACAACCGGTATTGATGAGGGGAATACGATCGCGAACCATTTATTGCCATACGATCGTGGAGGTGGACGAGCCACCGTATTTAACGCTTTAAGTGAGGAAACCAGCACCAAAGGCTCAACCTCTCATTGGCTTCGTGTCCCTCTAAAATTCGAGATATATGGACCAGTTTTGTGGGGCAAACAGGATCTTGCTGCGGAGCATTGCCACTTGCAGGCTTACGCTAATTAGCGCCAATTAGCGCCGACAGTCTTGCAATGCCTTTTTCTCGACAATTTCTATGGGCAAGAATGAAATGTTAGAGCCAGCCAGGTGGCTGATATACGCAACAGTTTATTTGACAACTCCTGCCGACGCATTCGCAGACTTTCGGAGAAATACAACACCAAGGTGTTTAGTGAGTAAAAGCGGAGTCTTGTCTGATGCCTTTTCGCTGCAGTGTCCCCCCATGGCTGTCTTCAAGGAATCAAGATCGTAAATGTTAACAGGGCTAGAAGCTATGGTGAAGTGTTGGGATTGCTTGAAGGATGTCATGCTATGAACAAGGCACGAGAAAAACTTTGAGAACATGAAGATCAACAGTTTCTTGGTCTCCAGAGGATCAATAATTATCAGACCCATACCCCCTGCTTTGTCTTCGTAAGTCAAAGCCTCCTCAAGCAGAATCTACATTTAAAGTACTTATGACTCGGATCTGACAGAATTAGGATGAAGGGAAAAATGAAAACTATTTAAAAACTAGTTTGTACTTTTGAAAATATCTAGTTAATTAAAATAAATTCATATAAAATATAAAAGAAATACTTTTTAAATTTATATAGTTACTTTACTTTATATATTAGAACTTTATTTCAATTCTTCTACTTATAAATACTGTAGGCAAGTTATGCTAATTTTCTTTGTCCTTTTAATAACTAGCTAAGAAAATATCCAATTTAGGCTTCTCCTTTGAACGTACCTAATTAACCTATTTAGACCTGCCTATAGGCAGGCTATAAGTAGCTGCAGGTAGGCAATTTGAAGCCTTAATTCACTTCTTTAGAGATGATTTAGATAGCATAATTAAAGCAGCCATTATAATACCTTTTTTTCTGGCTAAAATAGGCCTCCTGTCTGATTAACGCAGGGCTGTTATATGTATATAAGTTGAACGAGCTGCCCACATATTCTCAGGGCTGACAAGAAGACATCTACGCTGTAGCCTCAACATGACTTCCACACCAGATAAGCTGAAGCAAGAACCGCCAAATGACGACATCACGATGTCTGGCGACGGCGATACTCCACGAGAAAACGGAGACAGCTCTGGCTTGTCTAACCAGGCCGATGGCAGTCAACCTGGTCAAAGCGATATGAACCAGGTTGGTCAGAACAATGGAAACCAACCTGGCCAAACCGATATGAATCAAACTGGTCAGAGCAATGACAATCAACCTGGCCAAACCGATATGAATCAAGCTGGTCAGAGCAATAATAATCAAGCTGGTCAAAACGATAAGAATCAAGTTATTCAGAGCAGTGATAATCAACCTGGTCAAAACGTTACGAATCAAGCTGGGCAGAGCAATGATAATCAAACTGGTCAGAACAATGGCAATCAATCATCTAACGAAAACCCATTTCTAGCTCGACCCTTCAAGCGTAGTCTACAAAAGCCCGATGATAGAGGCAATTCAGCCGATAATTCCAGGGCTTTCAGTCCAGCAGTAGAAGACCCTAATGCTAAAAAGGCGAAAACAGATCATGTCTTTAGTTTTAATTCTGCAAAAGCGAAGACGGCTCCCTTCTCTCCAAGGGCACAAACGACAACAAGAGCCTCTCCCTTTTCTGACGATGATGGAGTTGGCGACCCTGACCTCGAAAAGGATCTAGTCGGTAGTCAAGCTTGCCCTGAGAATATGACGACGCTTGGGCTCGTGAAAGTAGGGAAAAGGCCGAGATACCTAAATGAATATAGAATTGGTGACCGAAGCATCTTACGAATTGAAACCTTGAAAGACGGCAAGTTCGACGAGAATGCCGCGGAAGTCTTAACGGTAACCAGTAGGAAGTATCAAGCCCAACATGCAGATAAGAAATGGCGTGAAGTAGATTACGTCCTGGGCGTCGCAGCGTTTGGGAGCGAATTGAACTATGAAGAATTTCTGTGCAAGCTGGATCCAGAAAACCCGTACAAATTCAAATGGAGACAAACCGTATTGATCGGAATTCGATGGGTTGACAAGACAGTCACATTTGTGAGCCGTCAATGGTGGCGCGATAATTATGAGGCAAGGGATCCGTCCGCTAAGCAAACGTATCTGGACCGCAAGGAAAACGGATACCGTTATTGGTATAAGACGCGCGATGATCCTGATTGGAGGAGTCGAGTGAATCACAATGCCTTCCAGGACTATAGGCTATTCAAGTGGGCCTTTTTGTATGAGAAAAAGTACTATCAGGCCATGAATCCTGGGCAGCGGTTTGAGATTCAAGATCGCGCCAAGTCGCCATCGCCCATTGATGATGAGCTTGCCAAGTTTAGGGCGATGACGGTTGAGGAAAGCCCGAGTTCAAAGATCTATCAGTCTGTCGAGACTCCTCTGCCCGACGATGACGAAGGTTTTGATACGGATTCCCGCCGTAGTACCCAGTCACGATATAAATCATCGGGTCAGCCCAGGGCACATCGTGCCGCCTCCCTGCGGGTGGAGCCAAATGGCTCACCACGTCCCCGAAACAAGAACAGGTTCAACACAATGAGACGGTTTCAGCAACCACTGGGAACCACACCTCGCTCTATGGCAGTGGCTCATTGATGGAAGGTAATGACCAGGCGGTTTTTTAAAATCAACAACAGCGACAGAACCAAGAAGCTTGCGAGATGAAGCGTTGTTTTGCTAGCCGCCGTAGTACGATTCCAACAACCATGACAGATGTCGGGTCAAACATAAGGACGAAGCCTTTTCTTCTCCGTCGTCGCTCCTTTCATTATCAAACCGATAGTATCCTTTCATTTGTAAACGCTACTAAGGCTTATCCCATGGCGCCTGAATTGCCTTGTATTTATATAATCTTTACCTTTTGCTCTGTTTATAGCTTGCAATATTTCTTTTGTATTCTTGTTTATATCTGTAGCTATATTTCTTCTCAATAGAATATTATAACCTTTCAGTTTCATTTTTGTAATAGTAAGATCAGTAAGAATAGCTTTCGAGTCTGACATTCATTTTCTTTTCTTCTATTTTCCATCCTCCTTTTCTCTCCCGCTGTTGTGTTGTTAGTCCAACCACCGCCATCATGTCTCCAAGGACGAACATTATGTGGAAATGCCTGCATAAATTGCCTCAGGATGTCTCTGATAGATACGAACTCCACGTCGTTGGGCCTATTCCGGACCATTTGCTCCTAGAAGTGGCTGTATCTGTATACACGCCCATAACTGAGCTGTACAAGAATCTGCTTTCGAAGCCGTCCGTGTCAATTGACAGAGGAATCACTGCATAAGCATGGACCACAACTCGCCTATCGTGAGGCACACTTTGACTTCATTGAGCGTACTCGACATGGCATTTCCCGTCGTAGAAAAGTCTAGCAAGCTACTACCGTGGACGATACCATTCTATGATACCATAGAATGTGTATATCCTGTTAATCGATACTCTATTGGTATGTCACCGATCTCATTGTCGGCCCTGTGATGACTACCTCTCAGCAAATATAGAGCACAGAACTGACAAGGTGAAGGTAATTAAACTGGCTTGACAAGTGAGGAAAGATAACTGTAGGAGAGATTCAGCCAGGCGATCATATCCATCATCCCATCGGTAGGACCGTCTCATGATCAAATTTGCTCAAGTGTCGCAGATCTTGGCGAAATCGACATAATCAGTCGACTGTATTAAGGTCTCGAGGTTCAATAAAACAAGCCCCAGCCAATCTCAACTTCATCATCATGATTCGTGCCCTCCTCTGCAGCGTTGGAATTATGAACGACAAGTCAACAATGGGACTTCTCTCCTGTCGAGAACTTCATTTTGCATTCTGCACTCTGATACTTTGGAGAGACTTTCAATTACAGTGGCTCGGGCATGAGATTTTGTAAATAGAATACAGTAAAGGTTCATCTTCCAGAACAATGAAATCGCGTGAGGCAAGTTCGACAAATCATTTGGATTCGTTGAACATTGCAACCAAGTGTACATACTGTACGTAGCCTAAACATTGTCAAGATGCGATTGCAAAACGACGTCTTATTTCTCACATCTCACAGCCGTGGCCTGTCATAGTCTAGTGGCCAGAATGAACAGCAAAAGTGCGACGAACATGTTTTTCTTACCTGGTTTCATAGCCCATTCGTGGTGCCAAAAGTCGGCTATATCGGACTTTACTCTGCACTATACAGGATCCTCGCGGCCGGTTTCCGACTTCAGGGAAGTGATGAATCCAAAAACCACTTTCAGTGCCATATAAAGTGGCACAATCAGCACCCGTTTGGTAACTCTTCCTCGCACTCACGTTGGGGAACACTCTCGATACCAGTTTCATAGAGCCAATGGATGATTACGAACACTTTCAGCATCTCGCGTTACGGCCACACACCAAAACGTCACTGGCACTGATGTCGGCAGCCACGCGCATAGCCCATAAGCGATTTGAAAATTGTACTTCCAGGCTTCTTTCTACTGATTTAACATCATTTCCGCCTCACCAACTGGCTACCCAAGAAGATGTCGACGAGTCTTTACGAGACTTGGTCGGTCCGGTGGATGAAACCTGGACTGAGCGTGTAAACAAGTTGTCGCGATTGAAGCGTCCCCCGGAAGGCAGCAGGATCGCCCAGTCGATGTGGCATCTGGTACGCGGTGGCCACCTTGATTTCGGGATTGTGGAGGATTACCTAGAGCTACTAAGGTCCACAAGCCACCATGTAGAGATAGCTCCAGCTCGGATGCTTCGGCACGATCAAAACTGTATTCAAGAGACGGAAGGGATTGATCATCCCATCATCATTCCGTTCTGTCATGAAAACAACTGGGCGTTTTCTGTTGCGTACTCAGACTGCGTCCACTGGTATGACAGTACTCCCATTAGTGCTACCCTTGTACCTCCCGTTGCCGGTGCGCGACCCGTCGTAGAAGGGTGGCGGGGGCCTCAGAATAATAACGTGGCAGATTCAGGCGTGTTCATGCTTATGGGCATCAAGCTTATATTACAGCGCAAACCTCATCTAAGCCAAAGGGTCGCAGATGAGCTCAACCAGTCTTTCCGTTCTTGTATATTTATCGAACTTCTTTGTCAAAAGGTTGAGTCAACCTCTACAGACGTACGTGATATCAATTTAGACCAAGTGATAGAAACAGGATACTTATCCTCAACCGTCGACCAGATAAGCCACGGACATACGTTAACTAATGGACAACAAGAATCATCCTTCTTCGAAGATGCGATGGCTGCGACAATAAGTGCAACTCGGGCCATTTCCTCGGCATCTCCTGTAATATGTCAAGCGGAAGAAGTCAGCGCTTTGAGCAGAAACCCAGAGCTGGCACCCGCCACGGACCCTGACCGCCCCCCAGGACTTTCCAGTTTACAGCCACAGCATCCGGCCAACACGTCGCGCAAGAGAAGATCGCAACCAAGGGCCACAAGTGAGAGAGCAGAAGGGCGTCTACAGCGAGTTTTGGATGATCGTAAAGTTATTTTAGATAATCTCTCACATGCCATCCACTTCAAACGATCTGCCCTAGTGTCCTTTGCAGATGATCCGGTTGTTCTCAGGGCACTTCTTAGGTATTCAAGGACCAGTGGGAATCTTCATCGTCGCTACCACGCTGTCCTTTTCCACTGGATGACGGAAGATAACGAGCGAATAATAGAAATGAAATCAGCGATGGGGGAGGATGCTGAGAAACGCATTAAGAGAGATTTATGGAGTTGTAACTTCTGGAAAAAGGTAAGTGATATTGGTATGAAACACGGCTTGGGGCCCTTGGTACCACTTTGTGCATTTGGAAATGACTTTAGCGGTTATCGGTTGTCAGAGGACGCTCAGGGTCCACTGATTAAAGAATTTGAAAATCGGTTGCAAAACGAAACCGACATGTTGCGTATATGGCTTCAAGATGCGCGTGGACTGTGCGAGGCCATATTAGTAGGACCCACGCCTGTTGCTTCCTTCAACATTGATAAATATAACTTTCAGGCTGAGTTCGACATGACCGACGATCAATTTCGATTCTATGTTTGTTCAGGGCTCAACTAGGCAGAGAATCCAATAGGTTCTAAAGTAACCTTCCCAACAAGTCAAGGCAGCTCAAGACGTTTGGATCAAATAGCATCGAACAGTCTATGCATAGAGTTTCTTCCATTTGAGTTCATTGACCCAGTGCGCATGAGTCACCAGCTATCATGAGTTACGTAACAGGCCTGTGAGCGGAAGATTAGTGAGGCTGCGGCTACGCTCTTTGTGTCATATTCACTTTAGATGGCGTAGATTCTATACGGTGATCTAATTTTGGTGCCAATATGCATATTAGTAGACCTTCTCAGAATTGAGTTAGAAATAGTGGATCAATCGATATATGCATTTTCCGTGCGCGCGCTAAGGCATTTCGAAACTACTCACTTCACGGCCAGAAAGTGCCAGAAACTGTCTGCTGGTATGTAGTTTAGAGATGACTAGTCCGTTCTGGTAGCATTGCGACCTCATTAAGCAGTGTTAATTGTGATGATAGAATGAGTTCAAGCTTTCGGAGTCAACGTCTCGCCGAATTTAGAAACTACCGAAACGACCCATAATTATGCGGTCGCTAATTTCTATACCTGCTGCTGTATTGTCACTAACTTTGGCTTCCTCAGATAGTATGTACTAAAAGTCTAGATCGTCATATTGGGTTGGAATCCGGATTTAGTCCAGATGCGATGTGCTGGATATAAGACGGCACATGTTGACCTTGGAAAAGCCAAGCATGAAAGGCAGCGTGCCATGATAATTCGCAAGCATAAGGAAAAGTATGGCGATCATTATCACAAATTTGAATAAGGCCCTGGCCTGCGTCCTCTTTCTTCTTCTTCTTCTTCTTCTTCTATTTCTTATTTTTTCCCTTTTTTCCTTCTTTTTTTTTTTTTTTTTTTTTTGTGGTTTTTTTTAAAAAAAAAAAAATTCATTTCATAAATACGTTATGTCCAGAACACGCTTGCTCGGTTGACCGGCTTCGGGTGGAATTGTACGTCTTACATTCAGTGTATGTTAGCTGAAATAAGTATAATATCATACTGCCAATAGTGACCTCTCCTGTGCTTGTCTATATTTGTAGACGCTAAGACTCAGTGTGATCAATGGAAGAGCTGCTAATTTCGTCTTCGCTGTGCTTTCCAATTTCTCAACTAAATTTGACGCAACAGGCCCGAATAGGCTTGGCCCCAAGTTATATAGGATCTGATGAGACCCGCAAGATCTTAGATCCCACAAACCATCTAACCTTAAATATAAAGGCAGTTCTATGGCTCTGGTATGTTTCGCTGGCAAGAGCCACCTGCACTTCCAAATATGCCATATGGATCTCGCAGGACAGGGCTAAACTAAGCGAGACGTTGGGGCAAGCTCTGCCTAAGCTGGACTATGACGATATTTCAAACCTTAATCCTGGTGTTGATGTCGGTATGGCGGCTGTTCCTGGAAAGCGATACAAGATCCCTTACCATGCAAATATGGCACTCATTCCACCAGCCTCGTGGTCTGACAATTGCCCAAAAACGTTGGAGCTTCATGGTGCCAAGTCAGAAACGCTTGAAGTCTTCAATCAGCCACCTTCAACATCTGCAGGAGATAACCGTAACCCGTCTGTATCTAACCTAGCTCGATCATTGATGCACACGGAAGCCTCTAGTGGCGGTCTGATACCGAGAGCAACGCCTGTCACGACCACGGACGGCCCTAAACCAGTAGAGACATCCAGCACTATTGAGACACGAACAAAGCCACACGCAGCGACAGGCACAGCCAGCTCTATGTTATGCTGGGAAGAGACCCACCCGTCGGTCTCTGACTTTGTTTCAAGTCCAGCATCCAGGATTGAGTTTGCCAGGTCGTTTTGTGACAGGCTCCAGGAGGCTACTTTTGACGCAGCTCATCCCATCCAACCATTGCGCTACGGCGACTCCTTGATTGGAATGCAGGTATTACCCTCCTGTCCAAACCATTCCATTGGAGCGAAAGACATGGATGCATGCCGTGGGGTGTTTGAGAACATCAACCGTAAATGCCCAAAAGCGGGCGGGACATATACCAACAATTGCGTGTTGTACTACTTTGTCAAACGGTGACGTGCTGTAGGCAAGATATACGTAGTTAGTTTCGCACATATAGTTTTATCCACATATCATTGCATCTAATGCCGGAGCTCGCCGCATAATATACAGTATCATTTTGGCTACATTGCAATTGTTGATCAGTAGCAGGGTGTTAATGCAACTTGAGATGTACAATATCTTTTTGCCCGTAATGATATGCTATCTTCCCTATGGATCCACCCAACATTGTTTATATCCAGCATAATGGTGTGTAAATTTTCAAGGAAAATCAGAAGCTATTCATCCGAGCGGGATCCCAATATCACAAGTTCATCTTCTGTCTCAAGCCAGAAGCCAGTCATGCCGCAGCAGGTTTGGGAAGCAAGGGCAAGCACTGTGAGCTATTGCGAACTATCTGAAGATCTATGCAGCGGAGGGCTGTTGACAGCTAAATACCACCCTGTAGCTTCCTTTTCCATATTCATGTCCTTTAATTGCTTAGACGGAATGTCTATATTTGTCGAATCCCTACCTCCAGCTGTGGCTTCATATCTCCATTGTGCCTTGACATAGTGGGATGGAAGATTAGGATTAGAGCTGTTCGGGTTCTACTGGCGGTAATTATAATTATTTATCTTGTCTTTGTACGAATTTCGCGTTGCCAGACTTGGTCTCGAGAGAGGAACGAGACGTATTCATGCCTCTCGGTCCTCTCTTGCCCTTGAGGCTCTGATGCGACAGTATGATTCAAAGTTTGTTGTGGAAGTTATTCATACAATATGATGTTGTTGGGGAAAAATATTGTGTTCTTCATTATCTATGCTGATAGTTTAAAGTTGTTTTGTGAAGCTTGCAAATCCTCCTATAGCAGGTTCTACGGCAATAACGTGGCGGTTCGAGTCTCCAATATTAGATTTTCCCTACCAACTTTGAATTTATGTTCTTTACTCCATGCATCTCTGTTGGGCTTCTCGGTAACATTTGGCCAGAGAGCAGTTCGGCTTTCTTGGTCTCATAACGAGCTTGACACTTGCATATATAGTAAAGTAAATCTCAAGCAACCAAACCATAAGCAAGATGAACGCCCTGAAGAATTCTGTCAAGAAATGGTTTTACCAATTAAAAGGATAAGAACTATATAGTAACCACCGACTGCTCCGCTATCGAATAAGATTGTCTATATTTGAAAATGCCAAGATGGGAACGACGTGACGCCCACGATGCTCAGGAGATCATTTTCCATATTACGCCAATCAATCATTGCAAATCTTCATACGCTAGAACCTTTATGCTCATGGCGCGTTTGGCGGTTTGCAGAGCTGGCATGGACAGTAGTGTATGAGTCACTAACTGCCGGAGCTGTCCCACAAAGGCAAGAAAATCGTCCAGAGTGTAGGGATCGCCCCTCTCCGGGACCTCGTCCCATGACTGTTGCTCTGATGAACGAATATCATCGTCGATTTCCAACTCTACGAGCTGAAACTCGTCTGCTTTGAAGACTTTGGGCTTTGGCCCGTCGAATTCCGCTTTCGATGATACCCAATGCTTTCGCTTGATGCGGTAGTTGATGAGCCATAGCGTTTCCAGACCCCCAAATCTTGCACCATATACAATGTAACAGCATAAGGAGTCAAGGCTTCTGATCCGGGAGGATTCGTGGAGGCTCGAAGCCCATGATGGGTGGTATTGCCAGCCTACGTGCGGTATCTGTAGCAAGCCCTGGGCTGTGTTGTTCGGAATGACATCTTCAAACAAAAACCGACTAAACATGTCAGGGTCATCTAGTTGGAGAATAAAGAGGTCCTGGCTTGGAGACACGATAATACTGCGCTGCTGGGAAGAGTCGCTCTCTGGTGCGTCGACCTCGACATTCGAACGGCCACATCTCACCTTCTTCCGGATGGCTATGGGCTTGGTGGGGCCGAGTATATCTCTCATGACACAATGTGACTGCCTACAGGCACTCCAGAGACCCGAGTCGATCAGGTACGTCGAAAGGTTGTTTTTAGTCCATGAAACTGTGATTTCGTCGAAGCCATTGACTCGACTGGACTTGGGGCCAAAAGCCCACTTGGGAGCGGTGAGGTAATAGGCATCGACCCAAGGAGCTTCCGAAACGCCGTCTTCATGTGGTTGACTTCTATGATCGCTGCTCAAGCTGAAGATTTGTACACCTGCCTTTGCAGGACGAACGGCGGAGCTCCAAATCTCTATTTGTAGCTCTACCGGAAGGTTTCTGAAGCAATGAAATGAATCAAACATCCTGCTTATCATGAAATAGCCGAGGATAACTCGCAAAAAGACGAATTGACTTGTAGGATTATCTAGTTCCTGTGACACTTCAACATCGGGACAACCAATTCTATAAAATCGTCAAAGCACTTCTAGATCTATGCTCGCTAGACCCGATAGGTATCGCAAAAAGGACTTTAGAAACCATTGTATGCTGGGATTGACCGCCAATGCAAGACGTTGGACGGCTTACAGTAACGCCCATTATTGGCAATACGACGAGTTCCCATCACTGATTGTTTCTTCAGCATATTTTTCTTCACATATACGCAGACAGCAGAAATTCTGGTCAAGATCGGGCCGATTTTCTTCTCTATACGTCTATCGATCAAGGTCGCTCCGGTTGAACCTTACTGTGCCTGAGTGTTATGGCGCCATGCCTACGATACGATTCTTCTAACTCGTGGCGGAGTGACATCGCAGTTGTTGGGGATTCCACTGCAGACTTGTTCTGCTCTGTCTGTGTTTGGCCTAAAATCACTTTTTTAGCCATCTTCCTGGGTAGAAAGTGTGTAGTCTCTTAACAGTCTTCTGTTTACTTCAGCCAGTATATGTTCATCATGAGTGCTTGAGGTCCTTTCTGGCGAGCGCAGAGACATCGCATAATGATGTGCATAGGGACTGCAGACGGAGACACTAGCCAGCCGGCAACATGGCACAATTAAGTCCATCTTTGCATGATGAATCATTACTCACTTACAATGAGGCTACCTCTCTGTCTCCACTCCCCGCTGTTAGCGCCGTTCCACTGGAAGTTTTTGAATCTGTGCGCCTTCGACTGCCAAATAAATTGTCAAATATGCCAAATTCTTATTTCAAACCAAACAAAGGCGGAGTACTGGATTTGAGATAATATTTAATGTATTTGATACGTTACAGGATATAAAATTGGAGATCTAACCGGCTCCCAGCCTACCCGCAACCTGGTGAGTGCCTAGGTAGAGGATCTGACGAATAAGAGTCTTCACTGATACTGCGGCGAAGTACGCATTAGTGAGCTACCCCTTCATTATTTCAAGATCTGCGATGTTGAGTGGAAGTTTGGGTGTTGATTGCATTGCATGAATTGACTAGATGTGAATGATAGATAGAGAATTGATGCTGGGGAATAAATATGCGATGTATTGTTTCTGATCAATCGTGTTCGCCATGCTAGTACAGTGACCCCAATGGTACAGACGTAGAAAGCCCTTGTTTCTTTTTTGTATTTTTGTCGAAATGCAGAATAAATCCCAATCAATTGGCGATGTCCTAACAGACCCCCAACTCCTCGTGTACTCCATACCCTCCCATTTTCCCATCCATTCCCCCCTAACAAAAAATCCCATCACGCTGAACAGCTCTTAGAAGCATGCCTGTTCGTCTCCGTCTTGCCATCCTGAACAGTCGTCTCCGTCTCAATCTCAAACATCAACACAGGCTGGTACAGCTGTCGGCCAGATGGACTGTAAACCCAGATATCCTGAGGCCATTGACGTTGCTGGGATTGGATTGTCATTGTTCGGCGGTGATCATAGTCGTATTCTGATTCTTGTGCAGGGATGGGGAATGCCTCGACGTGATATCGAGAGTAATCTATAGAACCATTTGCAGATCTGGTAAACGTTGCTGGAGTTTGCATGCAGCAGCTTTCACTCTGCTGTTGTACTTTGTTGCCGTTCTCGTCAATCTTTTGACACATGATGTGTAGTTTTTCCCGGTGATAAGTGAATTTTTAAATACTGTTCTTGAGTTGGTTATCTTCACTTTCTCGTGAGGATTATGGTCTTCATATATACCTGGTGGCCTGCGGGAGCATGGATGCGAGACTTTTTTTTGCCAGCAGAAGCAAATGCAGCTCATATCGCCAATCACGATTCTCTGACACCTCATAGCATCATCTGAAACTGTTTGTATCGAATGCCATTATGTTTTGTGTAACACAAGGGTTTCCTATGCATTCGAGGCTTGCATTTCGGCTGGTCTGGGCTGCGGGGGATGAAAATGTAATCGTACGAGGGCGGCAATCGCACCATTAATGTTTCTCTTTTTTGCTTCTGTTAGAAAATGCGCAATGATGCTTTTATTCCATTTTTTAAAGTATTTAGTGATGGTGTTTTAAGCATTTAGACTAAGCTTAGCTTCACGCTGTACTCTGGTACAATTTAGACCAGATCAGATAAGCCCGGGTACACTCCCCGTGCTTCTTACAATCGGCCCTTCATATCCGAGCCTTAAAAAAAGTGAGATGCAAGAAAACGATCGTCATTCGCAGTTTATTGGTGCCCGCCTTTTGACGCTGAGATTCAAGAGGCCAGAATCTCGACCGGAGCTAGCCCGACCGCGGCAGAGGGGACATAATGACCAAAAAACTGAGACAGACACTGAAACATGAATGCAAGAGTCTCGATATGGAATATCGATGCCCGATGATTATCGGAGATCATGATCTGATTGCTCTTTTAGTTTCAACCATGTTCTGTTGACCGGGTAGTTGGATTAATTTCTCGTAGTGAGAATTTAAATTCCTGGTTATCGGCATATTTTAGTGTGATCGCGTTTTTTTGGGCGGGAAGTGATGGAGTTAGCTTGGCAGGTTTGGCAAGAAAAACAGCAACACAAGGCTTTGTGTGCGACGACACAGCATTCAAGCCAAATGACGAATTTTGCCACAATTTCAGTTACACAGCATAAATAAATCTTACACGCATTCAATGTCCCATGCCGTCAATCGCACAAAATCTGAAAAATAAATTATATTAATTATCAATCAGCCCTTACCTGCCTCGTTTGTCTCATCGGTTACAGTCCGCTCGGGACCGAAAATGGCAAGATCAAGATTAATCTCTCCGAGACGGCCTAGGGTAGTTAACTCTTCTAATCTATGACGCCAATCTCCACGCCCTGAGCCCTGTAGTCCCGAGGTCGCCAAGTCTAAAAAGCGATCTTGCTCCGTTAATGTCCTTTTGCAGCCAGTCGGGTCCCAGTAGAATCGGGATTCCAAGCTCTCGGTGAGAGGATAATGATATGAATACTTGGTCACCAATACCCTCACTTTTAGCGATAACCTGCTTATTTACTTTTGTCACCATCTGCCGAATATTTTGGGACCCGCCTGGCAGCCTACCCGAGAGTGTCTGTGAGTCTGTCCAATGAGAAGCTTCGTTAATACTACTAGTTAGTGATGTACGCTTCTTCATCATTTCGGTGTCTGCCAAGTAGAAAGTAGCTTCCTAATATCTTCCCCACTTCGCCCCACATCGCCAGTCGCGTCGCTGGCGGCCTCTTTACCTCTTCTCGCGACGCGTGCTGGCCCTTGCCCTCTTCTCTATCTTTGCCGTTGTCCTTTTTCTAGCTACAGACAAAATTGGCAACTCGATTCAAGTTGACGACGTTGATAGCTACAATGCCGCGATGACTAGGTCAGAAGTGATGCGGCAAAGCTTGATCCTATAGAGGCTAGGAGAAATAGGCTAAAAGCTCAAATGGTAACACATGAAACATTGGAAATATTGGATATGAGAAATCGGCCCATTTTGGCCAATATTCTTCTAAGGAAAAAGCTTAAATTTGAAGGGTTCGTCGTCGGATATTTGACGTGACTGTCCAAAGATCTATAAAATCACGGCGATGCGCAAATCGGCAGAAAAATAAGCCTGCCTGGTCAGAGTCTTATTATAAGACTTCACTCTGACAGTACTCCACCCCTACATCACTAGACCGCAAGCGTAGTACGGAAGGGTTTTGATTTTCTCCCCCCAACTGCGGCGTGACTGCTGGATAACCTCTTGATATTGTTTAAAGCGTGCCCAGCCGCTATCTATCCCCAACAATAGGATGGCTTGGAATACCAGTGAGAAAGCCCTCGAGCTCTTCATTATCCAGATCTGCTGTACCATACTTGTCTACCTCTCGGCATGTTTACGGTTCTGGGCACAATCTGTCATTATGAAAGAGCATGTAATACACGACAAGTTGATGTATATGTCAGTGGTAAGTTCACGTTCTAAATATGACAGGTGTACCGCGCATAGCTGCACTATTCGCCCCCTACATGAGGTTTTCTGCCCCTGGATAATGACAAAATGACACTAACTGGGGACCACTTTCTCAGTTCCTTTATACTGCCCAGGTTATCATGATAATACGCGGCATAGTGGACGGCGGAATTGGACAACATGCGGACGGCATTGACAGGGTAGAAATTGTCAAAGGTTTCCAAACTTGGTATTTCGGGGAACTAATATACGCCGCACTTTCATGCTTCACCAAAACATCGGTAGTCCTGTATCTCCATCGCCTTTACATCGGCGAACCATCAAAAGGGGCGACCGTCAATAGACCCTTCCTTAAAATAACTCTGACCATCTGCCTTGTCTGCGTCTGGGCTACATCGATTGTGTTTTTCTTGACCAGCATTTTCCAGTGCTCTCCCGTTGGCTACTACTGGGGGCAATTCAATGATCCCGTCAGCTCTGGCAAGTGTTCAAAGAGCATCGTACCCATCGCTGGTATAGTTCTTAGCATCGTTTTGGCCCTCAGCGATTGGACCTTGGCTCTAGTAGTACCCATTATGAGCCTATGGAATGCGCGGTTGCCGTGGAAAACCAAAGCTGCGATCCAAGCTTTGACGAGCTTAGGCGTACTGTGAGTGTTATTTTGCATTTTTGTGTTTTTCCTTTACCTTGAAAGTATTGTTAGTGTTACGGCTTTATGAGCTCGTATGCCTAAGAAGCTCTCCTCCTAGAACTCGCCTAGTCCATTGACAACGATGAGAATACTCATTGGTCTACTTCCGAGGACAGGAGGAGCCGGATTGGTGCCAATTCAAACTTCATTGCCTGGCTGACAGCATGGATATGACAGAGCGGGCGCGGCAATGATTGTCCGCATTCCCTATATCAAGATGTTGGATCTTACTCAAGACTTTCTCTATGAAACAGTGTAAGATCTACATTCACTTGCTGTTATCTCATGCTTGCTCACTCACTCGTATATAGAGATGTTGCGAAATGGACGGTTATAGAGGCAACTCTGGGAATTGTGGCTGGGTGTTTGCCAACCATTTGGCCATTATTGAGAGCGATGAAATCCAGACGTGTCTCACCGAGCTTTGATCATGTGAATGATGAGGCCTTGCACCATAAAGTTCGAGTCGAAGGAGGGACGAAACAAGACACCATTCAGAATAACCGTGACACGATTCATCTTCAGAGAGAGTTCTTCATTTCGGAATGTTTTATTGACAATTCTGATAATCGTGTGAGATATGCCCCAAACGATAGTTTTAGATATGATCAATGGCATCCATAGGATAGATCGATATAGCAACTAGTCAGCCGTCATGCTCGTAATGTTAAAGCTTAGAAGCTCTCAGGCTAAAGAAGGGAGTAAGAGGTATGACTAAAAGAGACTTTTACTAATAATACCAAAAAAACAGACGACTTGTCACATATCAGTATGAACTGATATACAACAGTGGAGTATGGCGGCCAAATGACAAAACCGACGGTTCGAGGAAACAAACCGTTAGAACGACCCATGGACAGGCTTTTCATCATGCTAGCGAGGCGTATATCTGGAAGTCTCTGGTTGGATTACTTTCTTCCTATACCACCCTTCCTGAGTAACTGTGCAAGTGACTACTTGGGCTAGATTCGCTTCTTACAATCTTAGTAATCCCCAACCAAGTATCAATTAGTCCCTGTTAGTACCAGTTGATTGCTTCAGCATATTAAAAGAGCTACGGAAAGGCATTTCTTCTGGTCCCGTCAGCATATATGCTACCCGGATGCTCGGAGATGGATACATTGCAGACCTTGTGGTGATCCATTCATGTTTCTGTTCTTTCTCCACGAGGAGACGCCGTTAAAAGGAGTGTAACCAACTTATTTATAGTAGACAGCTATATACACTGACACATAGCATAAAAAGAAACTCGTCACATGGAAGCCTGCGAGTTTAATTTGTTTCTGGATACTTGCACTATGAAATTGTCTCATACACTTGATGATGACATGTATCCACCTCCTGATCCAAATGTCTTATATGGCAGCTCACCGGTGCACATCTCCATCCAGGCTCCAGATATCATCGTCCGAAGTCTCCCATCTCAAAGTCTCATTATAACCTTCGTTCTCGTAAGTTCCATCATCGTCCGTGACGCTGTGTAAGCTGGTTCCTTTACTACTGTTACTACTGGATAGCGTACTCCAGTCATAAGGCAAACCGTCGTCCACATCTTTCGGTGGCGTATACCATTCAATTGTAATCTTTTGAAGTTGTGGCATCTTGGCAAAATAAGAGAGGCGCTGGATGTATTCCATCAATTGCCCGCATTGACAGTCCTGCCTTTCCACCTTGATCGTGAGGTCGCGCACTAGCATTTCGACCGCAACAGCATCTTCCCAATCGCCAAGCATATCATCTAAGAAGCGAGAGAATCCGCTCAACGAGATTATGAATGAGTTCTCCTCATAGAACACCCTTCGAGCTTCTAGGAGAAGATGCCGTCGAGACTCATCGTTATTGAGGAATCTTTTTAGAAGAAGAAACCTTCCAATTCTCTCTTCATCTGACCAGGCAATAGGTTCTTGCACCACGACTGGATCCTCCTTCACCAAGTACTTACAGAGTACAGCGCGGCGATCGTCTGATGGCATGTTGGAAATGTCATCGAGGGGTCTCCCACCTGTCAGTTGAGCGAGATCATCATTAGCGGTCAGGAGCTGCATCTCTTTGGCCTTGTGGACCACTGAAAGTGGCTGGCAGATGTTAGCAGCTGTGACTTCGACAAGGATCTGACCCAGGGTTGCTTGATAGTCGATGAATGACGATCTTACTCACCTGAAGAAACTTGTGTATGCTCTTTCCTGACTGGGAGAATGATTTCAAATGCGCTCCTCGCATTCTTATTTCTTACAAGCGATGAAATGGGTATAGCTGGAGATTGAAGAAACTGGGAGCATTGCTATGGAGAGGCAGATATATGCCAAGCGGCTGCCTCAAGAGTTCACGTCCGTTTCAACAATATAGATGATCAGGCAGTTATATGGTACAGCACTATGATTGATTTCATCCATATTCGCACGTGTAGCTGCGCCAAAAGTCAGATTGAGCGACTCCTTATATGTACAGTTTTTGGCTGTTATGATAAAGCCAAGACAAGTTATAGGTTTGCCGTCCGACACAAAGACCTCATGCTGAAGCCCACAATGTCGGAATAAAGGCTGACTTGCGTGAATGAAGTGAATAGTATTGGAAGAGATAGTTATGGCCTACCGCCGATTCAGGATCGGTACAACCGAGACTGGACATGTGAATAGCCTTCCGAAAGCCTGCGGAACATTGCCTTCTACCTTTGCTGTTTATGGAAGTTGTAGGCCATTAACATGGCTGTACGATACAATATGAGTCACCTGCTAGTGTCGGCAGCGCACAGGACATTCGTACTGATATACTGTCGATTGAAGTGTTTTTTTTTTTTGGACGTCAGAGGTGTATCAGACGAGGGCTTTCAACACCTTGGTCAGGTCTTGCTAGAAAGTTATCTTACCCAACAAGCTCACCGTTCAATCACGCCTAGTACACAGCTACTAATGATGAAAGTTTGTAATTCGATCTCCATGATATTACCTTAGAATTTCGTGACAATTCAGTTTCTAATCCATATATTATCTTACATATGTCTTCTACCACGTAGTTGTTCTGTCTTGAATTCCTGCTCCAAGGGCTACAAAGAAGCACAGAAACTACAAATGGTGGTAACTATTCCTCATGAAGTATATAAAAAACATTCAGGAGAGATTGCAGGATTGTGAAATAGTGCGTTATTACGCTGCTCATATGACCAAGTTATGACAGCCAAATCCCATAGAAACACTGTTAAATCCTGAAAAACACCATCTATCCCTTTCACTTCACTAGTCACCTCTAGATAACCGTTTCTTATTTCGGTTCAGTTGAAGCCCCTTATAGATTTCCTCAATGCTTGGCAAGTCATCATCGTCGTCATTGTCGGGGGACTCGTTTCCACCTCGGGGGGAAAGTGGGACAGTTCTTGGGCTTGAGTAAGCTACCGCACTTCTCTGTACAACTATTAGAACTACGCTTCAATATCCACGGAATCACATACGTCTGAGTTTCTCTTCGATCTCATGGCCGATTTCCTGCGTGGTGTCGCTCGTGTCAGTAAACTAGTCACCCATGATCCCTCGCTCAGACTCTTTAGCACGCTTCGTAAATTTGGGTTCTCGTTGGGACAGCCTCCTCTCAGGCCGATGCGACTTGTTCTTCTCTCTAGTCTTGCTAAAATGACGATCTTTGCATTGTGCAAATGGTACGGTAGTAGCGGTGGAGACTTTACTGATTCTTCGCATGATAAGGTGATGAAGGAGTTTCTGGATGACTTTTATCGGCATCTGTTTGTCTGAGAAGAGATGTTGGAAAGATGACCAAGATGGGACAGAAGAGGAAATGGATGGAAAATAATGGCAACTTGCTGTTATTTATAATGAGAGATACTTAGGTACACATATTTCTTACCAAATATCCTTCCTCGAAGTAACCAGGATTCTCACTCCAAACCCCAGGGCGTAGCGTCATGAGAAACAGAGCGACAGATCCATGGCGTTCTTATGAGCGACCAAGATCCAGACGTCACGCGCCTCTACTTGGTCCTTTCAGGAATACGGGACACGCCTAACGAGGCTTGGGGTAATGAGCCGCCGTTGGCGACATGAAGCCATGTGAACAAGGTCGAGCCGGAAAGGATGCCTAGTTAACTGAGACATAACATCTACCTCTACTGATATCTTCCCCGTAAATCTATCATGTTTTGAAGGAGATACTCGTCATATCTGCTCTCTGAACAGGCTCCATCAGACCCTGCACCTATCATACCCTTTCGTTGTTTAGCCACTCCACCATGGTTTCAACTATAAGACGTGTGGAATAAGACGGTCCATGGATTGAGCGGTCCAGATCAAAGGATAATGTCAATCACGCTTCGACCCAACCTTGCCCGCTCTCCGTAGCCCAAGTGCTCCCACAAGTACGCAAACAAGCATTAGGGCAAAGAGAGTCCAAAAAGATGCACGGTAACCTTCCAAGCGAGCCTCGGGGGACTTTGGGTTGATGTTTCGGTTTGTCACCCCTGCGGAGACTACTTGAACGATAGCCAACCCCAGAGCGTTCCCAAACTGCGCTGCCGTGTTGAAGACAGCACCGGCAAGGGATTGATTCTTCTCGGGGAAAACCTCAGTAACAATAATGAGCCCGACGGTGAAGAGCACATCGATAGAAAATGGCAGAAGGATTTGTGCGAAGAAAGCACCGACCCAATAAGACCAACTAGGATTGATCATGGCCATAAGCAGCGGGGATCCCGAGGAAAGTAGTGACGAGACCGCTACAAGCCAGACAGCAGGTATTTTGTGCACGATGAGACCGGTCATCAGATTAAGGCCTAGTCCGACGACGGTACTGGGAAGGATGCGGATCGCAGCCTCGACAGCCGACAAATATTGGATCTCTTGAAAACTGGGGCGTATAGTCAGTAAAACTTTCACTCAAAACGTTCTGGCCGTTCACCTACTAGAGACTTGTAAGAAGATCAAGAGAATTCAGCACTGCAAACGATAAAGCTACAGCAATACATATAGCAGCAAAAGCAGAGTTGCTCCAGAAGGCATTAGGTATTAGAGCCGGCATGCTTCTTTTTACTCGGTAATGCATCCAACCAACAAACAGTGGCAGGGTCGCCAAGCTGAAGCATAGGAGTATAATAGTCCCGGTCTCTTTGATACGATGGACGTCCGTGCTGATAACCCTTGATCTGGTTAGTACCATCTTGGTTACAATTAGAAATACCTCAACTTACGCTAAGAAATAGGAAAGCGAGGCCATGGAAACCGAGGCAAGTAATGCTCCGATCCAATCGACTCTGGATATCAAATCACCGAATATGTTTCGGAAACCGAGCGGCTCGGGCTTTGGCAGTGACCATAGACCAACGGCGGACAGGAGCAGGGTAGTGCCTCCATAAAGATACCATCCCGAGCGCCATCCAACAGTATCAACGAGTACGCCACCGAGGACAAGGCCAAAGGTAAAGCCTAGCAGCTGACTCAAACCCAAGCAAGCGAACGATATGTTTCGGCTCTGTCCACGAGGCTGAGTGTCAGCGACGAGAGCCACAGAACTGGAGAAATGCATCGCTATGGCAACGCCCTGCAATGCCCTCATAGTAATCAATTGTTGAACGCTTTTGATAAATCCACAGGACAACATGAGCACGCCGTTGAGTATGCACCCCGATAGATTTACGGATCGGGGCCCCAAGACATCAGCGACGGCACCTGAGAGCAGCAGTGCCGAAGCTGTGGCTAGCCCTTGAACTGATGACGGCCAGAAGGCGAGCGACTGCGGTATATTGAGATCTGAGGTCAATTGAGGAAGTCCAATGACTATGAGACCGCTGGATGCGCTCGTGGCGAAATTGACCCCGCAAAGCTGGAATACTACTGCAGTTCTTCTTATAAGTGTCAGCGGAGTTGCAGCGCCCGTACTTAAAGCCTGCGAAGATTCGACGTCGTCGAGGATGGTTAGATGAACCTCAGTCTGATCTTTGGGCGGGGATCGCGACATCGGACTACAGGGTAGAGACTCCATGGACGTCGTTTTGTCGTACACAGCGTTGATGGGACGTAAATGATCGCAATCCACACAAAACAAACTGAAATCGCGGGTGCCTTTGGTCTAAAGGTATTGTCTTAGTTTCTTACTATCCTGTATCCGGTTCCTAGGTTGGTTGAAGGCATTCTCGTACATCTTTGTGTCGTGGGAATAGCACTTAAAATTTCAACCGAAATTGGATTCAATAGTACAAGCCATTGCCAAATAGTCGTGAAGGTAGTATACGTCTCTCATATTCTGACGAAAATGGCTGCTGGGAGTTGTAGCCCATGGTGCGTCAGCAGGAAATTGAGAAAGCAAGTTCTACGCCGAAGATGCACCCCTCGTCTTCATCAGGCCTTCAATCTATAATAGTCATGTTCCTACCCCTGCCTCTTATTCGACCTGAGCAAACCTTTCTATTTAGGGTCTTGCGATCCATACATCTCCTTCCCATTCATTATATGACTGAAACAGCTCGAGCACTGGGTAAAAAGAACATCTTTGGAATAATACATACATGATTGTACCAAGTTAGAAACAGTCGCTTATACTCCTGGGTATGTGTAAAGATAGTGTAGAAGTGTTCAAAACTTGTATAGATAGAAAGCCACCTGAAGCAATTCGGAGTAGTAGCTCCAGTTCTATCGATATATCGGCAAATTCATACCACTTCCCCGACATGTTTGAATCAGCTTTGATGCTTCATTACATTGTGTACTGTATATGAAAGTGGCATCAATAACCTGATCTGCATGACCCGGTGTTGGCTAATTAATGTGTCAGACCGTATCACAATCGCATATCATCGCTGAAATTCGCATCCCAAGCCCACTACTTCTTAAAAATCGGGCGAGAATGAAACCAGGCTTAAGGTAACTATACATAAGGTCCCTTGATTAGAACGACTGGGTTCAAGTTTTCCATTTACGATAGCAGACCCGAAAGGTAAAAAAATGAGAAAAGCATTCACAAGGCTAGGATCCAGCCGGCAACGGCCGTTCCGGGCGCAAGACAGGCGGCCACAACAGCAGCATCCAGCTCGATCCTGGATAAAAGGCCAACTTGCTGATCCGGCTTCCTCAGCCATTTTACCAAGGTCGACAGAATTTGTTCTGGCCCTGCAGCAACATGTCTTTGCCTTGTCTAGCACCGCTCGTCTCACGGCTATCACATCTCTTTGACGGTAATAGCTGGACTGACCAGAACCATTCAACTCAGGGAAGGGTGAAGAATGCATTCCGACTGAAGAAAATCAATTTGCGGCCTTTTAAGAAGAAGCACCGGATGTATACTCAAAGATATGACGCAGACAATCTTTCACCAAGTCAACAGGCAAATATGATGTATACAACAAGATATGGATCAAGCCGCACCACGAACAGCGGAAGCGAAGATGTTATTTCCCCTCAAGTCGTCCCCGTATCAGTCAATGTTATCACAATGCCGCGACACGTCGATCGTGCATGCCAAACTGATCTACGGCCAACTTCGGCGCTCTCAACATACGAACTGGTCTCGGCGAATACTCTAGATGAGTGCACCATTCCAGATGGAAGGCAGCCGCCTCCTCCGCCTCCGCCTTATGCGCCTCGACAAGGACCAAAGCAGTGATCGGCATGAGCGAGCACAGCGGGCGAGACTGTGTACATACACCAGGAGAAAATAGGCAAACTTGTTGTATAGCATATCATAAAGCTCAAGTCAAAATGAAACGTCAGGCGAGCTGAAAGATGCGGCCATAGTGATAAAACAGAGCAAAGGATGTGCTTCCACTTATAGAATGGGTGTAATCATTGTCATGCCCTGAGATTGTTGTGAACAATTGTCCCCTTGAGAACTTACCAGCCCAAGTAAGCAGTGAACGTTTAATAGAGACAATGCATAGTTTTAGTACGCGTATCAGCGGCAATCAGACTCTTAGATTCCCGAGTCTGGAATGGGAAATGAGACTGAGGGTTAGGTTCTGCGATTTATTGATTTTTCCTAATTGCCAGCAATGATGACTTTCCCTAAATGTGCTTGAGAAGCGCATAACAATTCTTCATACTCCCCTTTACATAGGAAATTGCGGAGTCTCTTCATTAACACCGTGGCTTCGCGTCTAAGGGATTTCATGGCATACGGAAGTTCAATACCCATGGGCTTGTTGCAACTAGACTCGGGCAGCCTCTATATTGAATACCGTTCTCAAAGCTCAAAGTCCCAGATACGTGGCTAAACACCAGTTAGTGAGCTTGACGAGCCTCCTTTTTTGTCCTCCACGCTCGTCTTCGTTCACACGCCGGCGTGGAACATAATGAAGACGTTATGGCCTGGACGGGCCAAGCAGCCATATGTGATACCGTATCACACTGACTCAAAAGAAATTCAAATGACGGAAAATGACTAACAAAAGTCTACCGCTACAAAATGGCTTTCTCGCACAGATTTGTGGACATCAGACCAGCCAGTGTCAGTCCATAATATGCCTTTACAATACGTACCCTCCCAGCTCACCCCGAGACTGTCATCTTGTCCGTGAGACAGCATAAGATTCTTATACTTTAAATTTCCTCTGACGTTCGCCACAATCGACGAAAAATTATCTTGCAGCTTGTGTGTTTTCTTTTCTCTCGACATCGAGAGAGCAAGGCTTTTCAGTAAACATGGCTGAGTTTGTTTTTGAAGATGAGGACTTGACTGCCCTCAAGGGTAATGTTATCGTTGTCACAGGTACGCAAAACACCGCCCGTCTCGGCTCCCCACTCCCATCCCCAGGTGGTCATGCTCATATATGGGTTGGCTATACACACCTTAGTTACGTCGGCCTCAGTTAACATTAAAACTCTTTGAATAGGCGGTTCATCTGGCATTGGATTGGCTACCGTGGAGCTACTTCTGTCAATCGGAGCCTCGGTAGTCAACGGTGATGTCCAGGCTCCAGAAAAGGAAATGGAAGGCGCATATGAGTTCATCAAAACAGATGTAACTAAATGGGAAGAGTTACTTGTGTTGTTTAATAAGGCGAAGGAGACACATGGCCGCATCGATCATGTTTTTGCCAACGCCGGCATTGGCCCACGCGCCGATTACTTGTCTACTCAACTTGACCAAGCTGGCAATCTAATGGAACCATCGAGCCAGAATCTCGACATTAACCTCAAGGGTGTCATCAATACGTCAACTCTCGCGATTCACCATCTGCGACAGCAAGCTGACGGAGGAAGCATTGTTATCACGGGATCCGCGACCAGTCTCCAGCGTTTTCGGGCCGTTGACTATGGTAAGTTGGGGAACGGTGCTCTCAGCGCGCTTTACGCTGGCTGATACGTATTAGCTACTGCCAAACATGGAGTGCTCGGTTTTGGGCGAGGACTTGTCCCGTTGCTTAAAGCCGCTCGACTTCCGATCCGGGTCAACACCTTGGCACCTAGCTGGACGGATAGCAACGTTGTCCCATCCTTGAAGAGTTTGCTGAACAGCATAAACGTCGACGTACAACCTGCCTCTGTAGTAGCTCGTTGTGCTGCTTACCTCATGGCTGACACCACCATGAACGGACAAGTCGTCCATGTGCAGCGTGGTAAGTATGCTGAAGTTGATACGGCTGTTTTGATTCCTGCGTATAGAAAGATCAAAGGCGATGACTACCCGAGCGAGGATGAAGTTTTTGAGCGACTTGCAGCAGCGGCAGCGTAGGGTGTAGGTTATTGCACGGACGAAATGGGAATGAGCACGCAGCAGCAGCGCGAATTCTGTACAACTATAGAGCATTGCAAGATACGACAAGAGAAAACTCGCGAAACCACTTAATTTTCTTTTGTTCAAGATGCAATATGTGATATAATGTTGAACAGTACAACCCGCACTACGCCAGGAAACTTCTGTTAGCTTATCGAAGATTCACCATCAACACCCACTGGCCAGCCTTCACGGAGAATCTGCGTTCTCTTAAACAACGTTTCCAAACATAGTAATAATTAGCTGTAGTCCTCTACCCATATCTGTCCTCCAGACTGGTTGCAAGGCGTGGTACCGCTTTTCAAATCCTCTTTGTAGTCCCAGATGCCCGTTTCAGTCAGATTTCTACAACTCCTCGGAGATTGTAACCCCCTTCCCCGGTTCGAAGACGATATAGGGGTTAGGTTCCGCCTCCGCTAGGTATTACTAGGACATCACCGCTTCTCGGTTCAGCTCGGTATGCACCTAAAAGACATGCCTCAATAAAGTCCATTTTCGTCGAAATATCCTGTAAACGTGTCTCTCCTATACATGAGATACACCAATAATGGCCATATATGGAGTACTAGGTTTCTAACTACCAAAAGTACCGACAGCCTTAGTCGCCAAGTACCACCAGCTAAAGAAGGCCGAGTCTATTTCATCCCTACTTTAGTATATCTTTCAGCGTGGAGCGAAAAAAGACAAATACATTTTTCTCTGTTGTCCTTTTTCTATGGGATCTGTTTAGTATAATCTGTTTCTGCATCCATCCATCATCGGGGCCATTAGAGGTAAGTTAAATCACATCAGTTTCTAGCTTCTACATCCGCTCATTCCATCCTAAGATCAAACAGTTATTCAACAAACATATTGCTTGCAATATGCTGGCTCATTACTTGAAAATGGCCGTCTTGGTCATTGCGATCCAGTCTATGCTTAGCGCCGCAGAGCCTAACGCCTTACAACTGTATCAGAGGGAACCTTCCCAGAGTGACGTAAGATATGCCAACATGGTCTACTTTGTCAACTGGTATGACAGCCCAATTTCCATGCGATTGAAGCCTTGGCAAGCCTGCCGCAGCCCCATGGCCGGATCAGATTGAACGAGACGAGATACTGATCGTAAACGTATCTTAGGGGGATATATGAGCGGGATTTCCAACCACAGGATCTCCCCGCCTCCAGCATAACACATGTGCTATACGCTTTTATGAATGTGCAGGAGGACGGCACTGTGTACGTTCGCTCGGATCGCTCGGAAGAAAATA